ACCAATCAGATTTCACCCCTCGTATCACTTGCAGTTGCTTCAAACAAAATGGCGGCGCCCGGTCAAGACGATCTGATCGATATTCAAGATATATATTGGGATAAAACGGATCTAACATCGCGAAGTGCATCAAATCACGTGAGCACATTGGTTAAAAACATGAACAGATTTGGAAAATATCTGTTGACACCGAGTTGTCGGTGCACACGCTTTGCAAATCCTGCAATCGACCGAAATCTGCACGACAGTTTACCAACCGGATTTCGATTTCACTGCGCGATTTTGATTGGACTATGCATAAACTCGTTAGTCCAGTCAAAATGTAACTCAATAATACCAGCCTAGTTCGGCAAGGGTGGAAACTGGACTTTTAAAGTCAGGTAACTCTCTTGCCTCGGGAAGATGTATTCCAGCTATATATAACATTGGTCTGTTAATTGCCTGGTGGAGACAAACCAGTGGTCGCTATAATGAACAACGAACCATGTCGTTGGGGTATACGTTGCATGATCTCAAGTCACCGTGCCTGACCACCAGATCGTTAAGTCTCCTCGTAGGACAAGCATAGGTGATTGGGGACATAACTCTAACCCGGAATCTCCACGGGGTGAAAGATTATCTACTCTATGGCGGCCTTCCCTTGACGGAGATGAGTGTGTCAGTCTTGGTTAAAAAAAACAAGGAGAAAGCAATTTATTCCAATGTCATACCATGCACAAACAATGATTCAGAGAAAGAGCGCCATAACAGTAACGGGTCATAATTGTGAAATACTTCTAAGTGTTAAATATAGCTGCGGGCAGTTTCAAATTTTGAAGCGAGAACTTTGTCAAAATATTTTTCAAAGCATAGTCTGGAATGAAGTCGTCAATTTGAAACTTATGACGCAAAGCTCGAGAAAGCTGCTTTCTGAATGGCTTATGTCGACGTCCTGTCAGTCGTTTCATTGGTTGGCTAAAGTCCGCGAAAGTTATTTCTGACGTGACCTGTAAATGGATGTCTTCAGATCGGTGACGGCCTGGGTGCGCGATATTTGATATTTAGGATGAAATCTCAGAACTTTGTGTATCGGTAGCATACACTAAGATCAGAATATAATGAGATTGCACCTCACTTAGAGTGTCTCGTCTTTTAATTCATTTACGGTTCCAGTTTCACAGACATAAATTGCAGGTACAGGAATATCCGATCCTGTTCTGAGTCCTGGAATAATCCAGGATTATCATCTTCCTTTCTTCCTTCCCCATGAAAATAAATTACACAACTCCTTTCATTGGAACTACGTTAATCAAATAACACTCCTGATGCAAAGGTAGCTCGAACGAGGCAAATTAAATTTATCCGTAAATCTTAATTACTAACCTCCTCAAAATCACCACGCCACCCCACAAATTTCCCCGCGACCATCATCTCACAGCAACAACCCCACCAATCACTTACCTCTGATGGTACCACTATCATTTCCTGGTTGAAATCCAGTTATTTAAATGTATAGATGTAATAAGGAGTTATGTTCAAATATTTCCTGTTTCAAACTACATCATGCATAACACTAACATGGTGCTTCAAATATTAATTTGGTTAATCGTGGGCTTTACCAAAGAAGTAAACATCCAGTCCTTGTATTATCAATTCCGTTGTTTGGAAAATACCGTTTTGATTTTTAGGCTCACCATTTCAAGGTTCCGTGTGGGATATATAGATCCCGGGGTTCTGAGTATGGAGCCATGTATACCTTTAAACAGTCCATGTAAGGCTGCATGCTAAATATAAATGTTTATCGGGCACATTTTTCTCAAAGGGGAGGAAAAGGTCGGATTTAAATTTTTAAAAAATTAAAACATAAGTGATGAGGGAGGAACACACTTTCCCAACCAAGAAAACCGTCAAACACAACTGGGCACAAGGTTAACTCGAGTCTTTAATACAATGTCAGTTGTGAAGTATTGATAACAGTGTCTGCTTCATATAACGCGGGTTATCTGATTTTTTTGGCAGAAAAAAAGAATGACGCGCAAAATTTAAAGTGACACGTCGATACCCGAGAAACATTTCTCTTTTTCAACAGCCTAACTAGCGGCCAGCAAACAACACGGTCGCTTTTCGCTGAAATGGAAGTAAATGCCAGAATAGCACTAGAAAGGTGAACATTGGCGTTTACATATAGACACTGCTTACAATATCCATCTGCGATTGGACACTCACTGGACACAAGTGAGGCTTAATCATGATGATGATGGAGGAACAAACACCCGGGGCAGAACGTACATAGTGATCAGCGCAGATCAATGGCTATAACCGGCCGCCTTAAACACCAGCTAAACCTGATCAACGGAATGTGGGTGACTTCTAGTTTATCTTTGGAGCTTAAGCTCATGTAATGAGACCGACTCACTTATAGAGACATAAAAAGCAGGTACAGGAATACCTAAAGATGTTCTGAGTCTTGGGTTAATCCGGGAGCTATCTTTTTCCTTTCTTCCTGTTTCGTGAAACAAAATATAGCACAACCCCTTTCATTGGGACTACGTTAAACAGAGAACACTCCTGATGCGGGGTCTGTGGGCGAAGCTAGCTCGAGCGAGGCAGATTTAATTAATCCGTAAATCTTATTACTTACCTCCTCAAGATCCCATCCCAATTCATTCGGCCTGTGAGTGAGTGAGTGAGTGAGTGGGTGGGTGAGTGAGTGAGTGAGTGAGTGAGTGAGTGAGTGAGTGAGTGAGTGAGTGGGTGGGTGGGTGAGTGAGTGAGTGAGTGAGTGAGTGAGTGAGTGTAATAAACTGCGGACTATACCGAAAGTGTATCGCTTTGGGACAATGAGAGGAATCGAACCGAAGCTAATTTATGAAAATTTAGATGAACAACAGCATATTTTATCACACACTGCCAATAATATTTCATATCACCATAAAGAATGACTTCAAAATAGTTAGCCAAAGTGGTAAGATTCATTGGATAAATGTCATTCAAATCCATGCAGCGGGGAATGTTTTATAACATATACAGTTAATGAGTATATAAAATGTCCGATATTTGACATGATGTCCCGTAGATTCTATTTAAGGACGATCTTTACGAGGTACAACCCGGTTTGAGAACAAAAGCATGACGTCACGGGGGGTTTAAAAGTTGCTTTTATACGTCATAATGAGTGACACAAGAGAATAAGTTAACATTCTTAACATTTAACAGTGAGCAATATCTAGATTTAAAAGCCAATGACGAAACCTTGTTAGGCGTTACAAAGTTCCCCCTTGTAGTCGTTTCCTGGTTCTAATAATCTCTTGACGGATCCATTTACATGTAAAATATACATTTAAAATGTCACTGTCATTGTCATCTTCTTCATTGACAGGCCGTCTCCGTGGTCGAATGGATATGCAGAAAACAAACAGTGCATGTACATAATAACCCCAGAGCAATGGAGGACGAATTACATTTATTAACCGCATGACTTGTTATCGCACGATATGCAACAAAGAAAATTAAGGGCAGGGAATACACGAGTGACTCGGGTCAGTAATATTTCGGCATGTCTGCTTGATGTGTGAGGAAATCGCGAGGTGACGCATGTCTAAGACGTTTACCACTTCAGTGGGGAAACAGGAGCAATGGTACGGTACTGACAAACCAGGTATATTCGCTCAGTGGGCTAGCACTATAAAACCAGACTAGTACAAGTAGCCACACACACGCGCGCGCGCACGTCACGATATACATGGAGCAATCTCTAAAGAGACGTTGAACCCTATTTCACCTTACCTCCACATTGAGTTACGATATGATGGATATTTTCCGAGCGCTTCCATGCAGCTGATCTACAAATCAATGGCGGTCTATATTGAGATCGCGTTAAATAAATTATTTGTGTATAGAAATAACCTCGTTCCTATTTGCTGATATTTTGGTAGTTATATACTCTGGTCGTTAACAAGTTATTATATTCAGCTACTTCGATGGGGTTGAAGCGTTCGCTCGTCACGCTGACGGACTGGGTTAGATTCTCCATATGGGTACAGTGTGTGAAGCCCAGTTGTGGTGTCCCTATAGTCGTGATATTGATGTGACATTATTAAATGCGGCGTAAAACTATATTTACTCACGTCATGGCCATGCTAGGCTCTCTTCTGACTTTTAGGAGGAATTGGTCTCCGTGAGATTCGGCTTACTGGATCGAGTGATTAAAAAAAGTCTGGACCAGACAATCCAGTGATTGACAACATGAACATCGATCCACGCAATTGGGATACAATGACATGTATCAACCAAGCTATGTGCAGCGAGCCTGACCACCCGATCCCGTTAGTCGCCTCTTACGACAAGCATAGTCGCCTTTTACAGCAAGCATGGGTTGCGGAAGACATATTCTACCCCGGATCTTCACTCGTCTAGTTACCTGGAACGCGTTTTCGAATATACACTTGTCGGAGTGTTAGTTGTATGTGTCGATCTCTAATGCTGAAAAAAAGTTTAAAATACTACACTATGACAGAACATGATTCCCTGGTTCGACGTTTCCTTGGACCTGGTGTTAACTATGAGATTTTACATGCGCATCATTTATTTGTCTGTTTTTCGTTTGGCATTTCTTTTTATATAAGTTGGTTTGAGGAATTCTATGTCAATACTTTGGTCGGTGGTCAAAATAATAATTGAAGTATTTCACACAGGCTCGGCAGGATGACTCTGATATATATAACGCCTTAATTGTATTCAAATCTAAGTGACATTTTACAGGAATGTTAACAATTTCAGAGGCTTTGCAAGGGAACAAAGTTACGGGAACAAGGGAACATGCAAACAGTTACGGGTAACTGAACACTTGTAACACCTGTACTATGCAGTCAGGCAGGGAAACTGTTAGACTGGGATCGTTCAACGCAATCCACCGTGGCGTTTTCTACACGAGAAACTGGTTTACGTTAAAACATCTATCGTTTGCAATGATTGGTTAGATATTCTAACATCAACCAATGAAACGATCGTTCTCCAAATAGCTTCAGCAGTCGAGCGGAGCGGAAGGAAATGATTGTGTGGAAGCACGTATTTCATGTTCAGGTTCATACTTCTAGAAAATAATTCCAGGTAGCTACAGTGTTTGATAAATACATCTATATAAGAAATATGCATCCTTGTGATCGGTTGTCACGGTGCTCACCAGACAATATGCCACATGAGCGACATTTTTCTGACGATTGTCCTATATTCGATCAAAAACACCACATATTTCCCATTACCGAGAGCGTTTATTATTGTGAAATTTAGGTCATGGAGGGGTTGCATAAGAAACTAAGTGAGTTTGCAAAAAATTCTACCGGAGTAGAAATCGGAGTACATGTCAAATGAACTCTTATTTGATTGAAACACCTTTTCTTTAGATATTGATGGTAAAGATTTTGTTGGTTGGTTTGTTGTTTAACGCCGCACTCAGCAATATTCCAGCTATATGACGGTGGTCTGTAAATAATCGATTCTGGACCAGACAATCCATGATTGATATCCTGAACATCGATCCACGCAATTGGGATCGATGACATGCATCAACCAAGCCAGCGGGCCTGACCACCCGATCCCGTTACACTGCTGGTGTTGTTTTCAGCACTGACCTGCACCCATAATGACCAGACCTGGTCAAGATGAAGAAGAGAGATTTCTGGACGGCTGTTATTGGTGTGTCGATCATCTACATCGGCCTGTGTTTCTGGATCTACTTCAGAATTGAGTCTCAGCTGTCACGGTCGGTCAGTCTGGTGGAGAAGGAAGAGGTAGGATTGTTATGATACACTTGGTTATGTCATGATACACTTTGTTAGGATATGATACACTTGGCCACAAATATTTAGCCAATACACTTGGGGGTGATACGATACACTAGGTTATGTCATGATACACTTTGTTAGGATATGGGGCGGTTGGGTAGCCTAGTGGTTAAAGCGTTCGCACGTCACGCCGAAGACCCGGGTTTTGATTCCTGACATTGGTACAATGTGTGAAGCCCATTTCTAGTGTCCCCCGCCGAGATATTGCTGGAATAATGCTAAAAGCGGCGTAAAACCAAACTCACTCACTCACTTTGTTAGGATATGATACACTTGGCCACAAATCCTTGGCCAGTACACTAGGGTGTGATATGATACACAAGGTTATGTCATGATACACTTTATTAGGATATGATACACTTGGCCACAAATCCTTGGCCAGTACATTAGGGTGTGATACGATACACTTGGTTATGTCATGATACGCTTTGTTAGGATATGAAACACTTTGACACAAATCCTTGGCCAATACACTTGGGGTTGATACGATACACTAGGTTATGTCATGATACACTTTGTTAGGACATGATACACTTTGACACAAATCCTTGGCCAATACACTAGGGTGTGATACGATACACTTGGTTATGTCATGATACACTTTGTTAGGATATGATTCACTTGGCCACAAATTCCTGGCCAGTACACTAGGTTGTGATACGATACACTAGGTTATGTCATGATACACTTTGTTAGGATATGATACACTTTGACACAAATCCTTGGCCAATACACTAGGTTGTGATACGATACACTTGGTTATGTCATGATACACTTTGTTAGGATATGATACACTTGGCCACAAATCCTTGGCCAATACACTAGGGTGTGATACGATACACTTTGTTAAGATATGATACACTTGGCAACAAATCCGTGGCCAGTACACTAGGGTGTGATACGATACACTTGGTTATGTCATGATACACTTTAATAGGATATGATACACTTGGCCACAAATCCTTGGCCAATACACTAGGGTGTGCTACGATACACTTTGTTAGGATATGATACACTTGGCCACAAATCCTTGGCCAATACACTAGGGTGTGATACGATACACTTTGTTAGGATATGATACACTTGGCCACAAATCCTTGGCCAATACACTAGGGTGTGATACGATACACTTTGTTAGGATATGATACACTTGGCCACAAATCCTTGGCCAGTACACTAGGGTGTGATACGATACACTTGGTTATGTCATGATACACTTTAATAGGATATGATACACTTGGCCACAAATCCTTGGCCAATATGCTAGGGTGTGATACGATACGCTTGGTTATGTCATGATACACTTTGTTAGGATATGATTCACTTGGCCACAAATCCTTGGCCAATACACTAGGGTGTGATACGATACACTTTGTTAGGATATGATACACTTGGCCACAAATCCTTGGCCAATACACTAGGGTGTGATACGATACACTTGGTTATGTCATGATACACTTTGTTAGGATATGATACACTTGGCCACAAATCCTTGGCCAATATGCTAGGGTGTGATACGATACGCTTGGTTATGTCATGATACACTTTGTTAGGATATGATTCACTTGGCCACAAATCCTTGGCCAACCAATTGGTTGTGATATGATATACTTGGTTGTGAAGTGATACACTTGGTTGTGATGTGAGACACTTTGTTGTGATGTGATACACTTTGTTGTGATGTGATACACTTGGTTATGATGCAATACACTTGGTTGGGATGTGATCCACTTTGTTGTGATGTGATACACTTGGTTGGGATGTGATCCACTTTGTTGTGATGTGATACACTTTGTTGTGATGTGATACACTTTGTTGTGATGTGATACACTTGGTTGTGATGTGATACACTTGGTTGTGATGTGATCCACTTGGTTGTGATACGATACATATGGTTGTGATACAAATTCATATGATCCTAATTTATCACATTTACTTCCTTCAGACAAAATGACTAGACTTTGTCTTCATTATCATGACTTTGGCTTTAACATGAGACAGATTTAGAAATTGGCTCTAGTTCTGTAGTCCTTGCCATAGTTAAGGTATCATAACTTGACATAAGGACAAGTAGAAATTTGCCCTCTTTAAGGGTTTTGCTATATTTTATCATTATAAGACATTAAAAATGTTAGTTACTATCGCTGTGATACTTCAGTATTTTACTGATATTTGCATTCAAACACAACAAGGAATTACTTTTTATTTCCTTAAACCTGATCTTACTTAAAGGGCAAGTTCACACGGAAATTAACCTATTTTTCTTGTACTTTTTCCACATTGAAAGTGTTAACCTAGAAGTGTCATAGACAAAAATATAAAAATATCACAATTAATTAACATATTTTTCGCATTAAAACGATTTATATTTTTCACATTTACCAAGTGTTCTATTTCCACAACAAAAACACAATGGCTTATGCCCCTTGCAATATGACGTCATTGGTGCCAATTGATAAACATTATGACGTCATCATGCTTTGTTAGAGCCGCTTCACGTGGTGTAGGTACAGTTTTGTGATTCTAGCGTCTTAGATGCCAGCCAGAATTGTGTTATGCTGAGTCACCACTGCGCCGAGTGTGTCGTAGACCATGTTGTTTTACCGCAAACTGGTCCTTGATATCTTTTGCGTTGAGAATAGACAGGGACCCAGTTGAATTGGCACCAATTACGTCATAATCTAAGGGGGATAACTCAGGCCTATTTCGCTCGTAAAACGAAGGCTTCATAACGGCATATCATTTTAACACAATTGTGAGCTTACTACTTTCACTGTGAAAAAAAATGAGTGTATATTTTCAAACACATATACTAACTAATTCTAAAATTGCGTTTTGTTTAGAAAAAGAAAGAAAGTGATTTTTGCGTGTACACTTCCCCTTTAAACCTGATCTTACTTAATTAGAAGTGTCCCAGGGCCTACTCACCAAGGCATGCCCACTTCTCCGGGAACACCGTAGCAGTGAGGCAGATCTCCACAACATGGCCCACCTGCCAAGCCAAACTGACAGCTGAGCAACATGGAGTTGATATTCAGGTGAGAAAAATCAGAGAGCAATCTCAAACTGATGCTGAAGGATTCTGGGATAGAATTGAGAACTCTGTATTCCTGTTGGTAGGTAAGGTTGATGAGATTCATCAGTGAACCAGGATGTTATATGAAATGATATGATATTTTCATTCTGTATTGATAAGATTGACTGTTTGTTTTATTTATATGATCATTTATTGTTTTTTAAACTGGTACTGTTTACTTCTGTTAAGGTTACATGAAAATGTCTATAGATTCAGGTTTACATCTTAAATAGTGTATTGTGATATGGTACATATTTTATTCTGATAAAAAATTTTGGGCAACAGTGGTCGAAATTATAGATGGAACTCAATGGGTCCTTGTCATAACCCTGATGTTAAAAGTTGAAGAGTAAGGGTACCAGATTAAAATACCACAGGAGAAGCCCAAGAATAGGCCCAGAACCCATTGATTGAGGTAACTGATATACGTCCTATCACGACTACAGTCTATTGTGTTCGTGAAGATCTGGGTTGGAATTGATCTTCAGCAACCCAAGCTTGTTGTAAGAAGCGACTATCAGAATTGGTTGGTCAGGCTTGCTGACTTGGTTTGATGCATGTCCCAATTGTGTAGACTGATGCTCTTGGTGTCAATCTGTGGATTGTCTGGTCCAAGCTTGATTATTTACAGATCATAGTCATATAGCTGGAGTGTGGGGTCGATATCACTCACTCACTCACTCACTCACTCACTCACTCACTCACTCACTCACTCACTCACTCACTCACTCAATCACTCACTCACTCACTCACTCACTCACTCACTCACTCACTCACTCACTCACTCACTCACTCACTCACTCACTCACTCACTCACTCACTCACTCACTCACTCACTCACTCACTCACTCACTCACTCACTCACTCACTCACTCACTCACTCAATCAATCAATCCAGTGTTACCCAAGTTGTTCAACATAATTATCTCACTGATTTACTTTCATTTACTGATGTCTGCTAATGGCTGTGGCTTCAGATGGAGTCGGAATGGTCGTCTATCAAGGTGGCCTACCCCAAGTTCATCCTGACTGTGAGTGGGTGGGTGCCCGACCTCCAGGTGCCCTCCTACACAGCCAAGGGAGGGGACAGACCCTTGCATGTCATAGTGGTACCCCACTCCCACCAGGACCCAGGTAAGTACAGATTCACTCATAACACTGTACTCTATACCCGTGAAGATCCGGGCAGGAATAGGTCTTCAGCAACCCATGCTTGCCGATAAAGGCGACTATGCTTGTCATGAAAGGTGACTTATGGGATCGAGTGGTCAGGCTCGCTGAATTGGTTGATGCGTGTATCGTATCCCAATTACATGGATCGATGCTCATGATGTCAATCAATGGATTGTCTGGTTTGGACTTGATTATTTACTGACCACCATCATATAGCTGGAATATTGCTGAGTGCAGTGTTAATGAACAAGGAAACATCACATTGAAGTGATCAGCTTGAGGCAGTCTGCCACTTTGACCACCAGGACTGTGTAATGGCAAGAATAGTCTGTTTCAGTATGTTGTGCTACAGGTATCTGAATTGCAATGTGATGGGAGCTGAAGTGTTTGACAGCGATTGACACCGATTGAACATGCAGATCCTATAAATATAGTCACCACCATTTTGTAGTCATGGACACAGTGGAGATAACGCGGGAGAAAAATCACTTCCATGTTTCCGACAGTTTGTTTGAAACATCATTTGTGAACAAATGTCTGTGTTTTTAGGTTAAATGATACAAATAATACTGAAACTTGTTATATTTTTTTTACCCAATATATCGGACAACAGAAAAAATATTGCAGTACGTATTGTTTGAAAAGGGTGTTGCACTCTACCAGTATACTAGTAGTTACTCGTCTGTTTGCTCTAGTAAGCTTAGCTAACAATATCCAAATGATAAAACTAAAATGTCCTAAACAAGAGGGCGGCGGGGTAGCCTAGCCTAGTTGTTTAAGTGTTCACTCACTATGCCAAAGACCCGGGATTGATTCCCCACATGGCTACAATTTCTGATGTTTCTCACTGTGGTATTGCTGAAATACGGCTAAAAACCATTCTCGCTATCACCCACTCAACCACTCAACATGATGCCTAGAAGCAAGTTCGGTCTGGTAGACTGAAAACGTTTTGGAACAAGGATGTTATTAGTTGTCCTGAAGTGAGTGAGTGAGTGAGTATGGTTTTACGCTGCTTTTAGCAATATTCCAGCAATATCACGGCGGGGGACACCAGAAATGGGCTTCACACATTGTACCCATGTCGGGAATTGAACCCGGGTCTTCGGCGTGATGAGCGAACGCTTTAACCACTAGGCTACCCGACCGCCCCTGTCCTGAAGTGACCTTCACGGCCCTCTTTAAGGCCAAATTGGGACTTCTCGGAGTCTGGGTCCTGTTCAACAAAACAATCTTAGCACAATGACGGCAGCATGTCCATTTTGAAGTATGGGGGTTATGGTAACCTTAGCGTTAAGATCGTTTTGATAAAAGGGGCCCTCGATTGCACCAAATTGTGTACACAGTTGATCATTACCACATCATCACCTAAAAACATGGACCGCCTCCGTGATCTAGTGGTAGAGTGTCTGCCCAGAGAGCAGAAGGTCCGGGATTTGATCCCTGGCCGCATACCAAAAGACGTTAAAAGATGGTACTTGTTGTTACCCTGTCTGGCGCTCGGCATAAAGGGGCTAAAACCAGGACTGGTCGGGTCGGAGTCAGTATACTGTGTCTGCGTGGGGTATTCATGTTAAACTGCGGTATGGTATCTCAGTGAGCTAGCACTATAAATTGGCATTAGTCCGGACTAGTACAAGCAGCCACACACACACGTGCATGCATGTCGCTATATAAGTGCAATAATCTTGGAAGCGAATTTATACCCAATTTCACCTCACCTCACCTAAAAACATGACTTTGCAATTTTTAGATTCAAATTTCAGAATATTCACTGACATTTGCTTCAGATTTGTGGATAAATATCGGCCTCTTAACAAGTTTAGATAAATATCAAGTTACCGGTACATGCCATATTAACATGTTTACATTTAATTGTTTCTCTGTATTTCAGGTTGGCTCAGTACCTTCGTTCAATACTACAATTCTTACACTAAGGAAACTCTGGACAGTGCGGTAGAACAACTGACAAAGCAGCCAACATGGAAGTTTATTTGGGCTGAGATGATATTTCTGGCTAGATGGTGGGAGACTGCATCTCAGGAAAAAAAAGACAAATTTCTGAAGTATGTCACCAAAAATATACGTAAATATTTTATATTTCATTGGTATAGAACCACAATATTGATAGTCTTTGTATAAGTTTTAGGCTTAAAAAAATAAAATAATTTGTTCTCAGGTTCTTTAAAAAAATGTGAGGGCAGGCAGCCTTTTTTTTTGGTGGGGGGGCGGGGGGGGGAAGCGGTGTTTGCTCAAACTATTAAGAGTCCAAATAGGCAGTTGTGCAAATCAACCTTGAAAAGGGCCTCTCTACATAAATCTATTTCTTGATGAGTAAAATAGTCTTCGGTCTTTCTAACAATTGCTATGGAATTTCTTGTCGGTTATGATATATATTGGCCATGCCATTAAGTATTTTTTAACCTAAATCACGCATAGATAGGGGAGAAAATGAGTAAACAGCTGATTGCTATTTCCGTCTTATTTTACGAGACAAATACACATGTAATCTTAACCCCTGCGTATGAAACATTGTCAGGCTTTCAGTACACAAATACCATTGAATTTCTGAAATGTCTAATGACGTTTTATCGTAATTTTCATGTTTTCATTGACCAAATTTGCAAACAGCAAAGCAAGCACACAAACTCCTATTGCAGCCATGACCCTGACCATAACACACGAGATGGGCAATAATATAGCAGTGTGCATGAAAAGGGAAGTAACTGCACGCTATATTGGATCGCATTGTTTTTAAGTATTGTAGCGTTTCACTGATGGGGTCGTGTGTTCAAGACGTGGAATATCTAAGGATTTTTTTTTTTGAAAATGGAAATAAGAACGAAAACGTGCGGCAGTGCTTGAGATCCAGGAATATTGTTTTTATAGCCTTATGCAGGTAGTCATATTTAGACAGTGTTGTGAGATGGGTCTGTTATGATAGTTTCTTATGACTCCATATATATGTGGGTGTCTTGAAACAAGCTTGTTGTGTTGTACAGACTGGTGGCAGACGGACGTCTGGAGATTGTGACAGCAGGCTGGGTAATGAGTGATGAAGCCAATGTCCATTACGAAGCCATGCTTGACCAGCTTATTGAAGGACATCAGTGGCTGAAATCAAACATTGGTAGGTATGGTGTCATGTGATAGTGTTATGCATGTCTTCGAAATAATAAAAGTTTTTGTTTGCTATGAATTAATGCTGAAAATTAAAACAGCCATTCTTAACCACCCGATTCTTTCATGACAGATTAACTATAGTAATATGAAAGCATCAGTTGGTCCTTAACTTTATTGAGTTGTATGTGTGCTGCAATGATGTCAGAACTTTCATTTGTTTCATTTTAAAGGAGTAATACATTCATGTCATGTGGGGACATTTAGTTACCGGTATGTAGTGAGTCTGAGGATCAAGAATTATTATACTTATAGTGTTACGTAACCATTGTCAATATGTCATTGTAAATAATCAAGTCTGGACCAGACCAACCAGTGGTCGATATTGTGAGCAGCAATCCACACCGTCGGGGTTCAATGACATGCAATCAACCAAGGCATTGCCAGGCCTAACCACCCAATCGATTTGGTAGCCATTTACGACCAGCATAGGTTGCTGGGGACTGCATGTTTCTTCATATACAGGTATAAGTTATATACAATGTCAATACTGAACAGGGTTTGTATAGGTATGCTTCTCCATACACTACTACTTCCTGTTGTGAGGGGCTTTTAGGCTTGTTGTAAGAGGCAACTATGCTTGTAAGAGGCAACTATGCTTGCAAGGGGCGACTATGCTTGTTGTGAGGGGTGACTATGCTTGTTGTAAGAGGCAACTATGCTTGCAAGGGGCGACTATGCTTGTTGTGAGGGGCGACTATGCTTGTTGTAAGAGGCAACTATGCTTGCAAGGGGCGACTATGCTTGTTGTGAGGGGCGACTATGCTTGTTGTAAGAGGCAACTATGCTTGCAAGGGGCTACTATGCTTGTTGTGAGGGGTGACTATGCTTGTTGTAAGAGGCAACTATGCTTGCAAGGGGTGACTTTGCTTGTTGTAAGGGGCAACTATGCTTGTAAGAGGCAACTATGCTTGCAAGGGGCGACTATGCTTGTTGTGAGGGGCGACTATGCTTGTTGTAAGAGGCAACTATGCTTGCAAGGGGCGACTATGCTTGTTGTGAGGGGTGACTATGCTTGTTGTAAGAGGCAACTATGCTTGCAAGGGGCGACTATGCTTGTTGTGAGGGGCGACTATGCTTGTTGTAAGAGGCAACTATGCTTGCAAGGGGCTACTATGCTTGTTGTGAGGGGTGACTATGCTTGTCGTAAGGGGTGACCTAGCTTGATAACTGCCAGTATCATTTGTGAAGCCTATCTTTAGTGTCAGACTTGAAGTGGTTGAGTCGATGTATATAACATGTATCAGCTGCCGTACCTGAAATGTTTGACCCGTATTCCTCACCCACTTCATGACAAGTTTTTGTTCTGGTGCAGGTGTCGAGGCCAAGACTGGCTGGTCCATAGATCAGTTTGGATACTCCCCTACAATGCCGTACCTGATGAAGAACTCTGGGATAAAGAATCTGGTGATACAGCGAGTCCACTACTCCGTCAAGAAGCATCTAGCGGCAGGAAGGAACCTGGAGTTTCACTGGAGGCAAGCATGGGGTAGGTGGCGCTACATGTCATTGTATGATACAAGCGTAAGGGGAGATAGGTTGGTGATACATTCAGCAGGTGTTCCTTTCATTTCCTAAAGAAAAACTGGGAGGTAAGATGAGAACTAAAACTGGTTTAGAACTGGTGTCCGTTACACCCAGTCACTGAATTGTTGATAGTCATTTCTTGTTGACGAATAACACAGTAGACACAATTTATGGATAACAACTTCTTTTTTGTACTGTTATTTAATGTTGTTTTGCCGTAGTAAAGCAAAACTGAATAGTGGGAGCATGGTACAGGATTATATACTCAAAAGTGAGTGAGTGAGTATGGTTTTACGCTGCTTTTAGCAATATTCCAGCAATATCACGGCGGGGGACACCAGAAATGGGCTTCACACATTGTACCCATGTCGGGAATCGAACCCCGGTCTTCGGCGTGACGAGCGAACGCTTTAACCGCTAGGCTACCCGACCGCCCCCACTGCCAAAAGAAACGTGAACACCAAGCATGTTGGTAAATGTATGAAAAATTACTCATAATCAAGAGATATTAAATTGGCTCGATGCACAAACAAACACACTGGTGTGTTGTGTGAGCCAACGCTCACGAACGCATCACATGTGACGTCATGGATCCATGACTTGAGATCTCCATTTATCTTGTTCAGGAATAGCGTGTAAAGTTTGGATATTACGTGCAGCACATCGTGATAGGAATAAAACCACTGTGGTAACACTTGACTGATTGTTAGTTTTGTCATTAATTGGTACCCATTGGAAACATCTCTTCTTAAAGTACATACTTTATATATGTTTCTATGGTTCACGCTTCTTTGGCGTTGAGTATACATAGTAGACCCACCTTATGTCCACTGTTCTGTGACCAGCCTCGGGTGTGGAGAGTGACCTGTTCTGCCACGTCATGCCCTTCCTCAGCTACAGCATCATGTACTCCTGTGGCCCAGAGCCCCACGTGTGCTGCAAGTTTGACTTCGACCGGACCAAGTGTCTGCGTGGCAAGAAGTCCATCGAGCCTGACGATGTTTCAGACACCAACGTGGAACAACTGTAAGTTTTTACATCAATTAGATCATTTCTGACATAATTGCCTCCTCCTCCTCATCAGATAACGTTATTGATGGTTGGATTTGAACACAAATACAATGGTACAAAACATACTACCGTATATCAATGTGTATAAGGCGTGTTTTTAGTAAATAGAATTAGGGGGCTTTCAAGGGGGGTTGTCTTATACACAGGGTTGAAGGGTTTTGATGTTTTTCCCCCCAACACAGACATAACTGTGAGCATGTATCACCGGAAATACCATGTGAACAAATATACTGAAGTACGCAAACTAATCATGTAATTACACTATCCGGTTATAAAAAGAGTTCATTTTATATCTGGACTGATGTGTGTAATCTATTTAATAAAATTTTATTCAAATTTTCATTCAATATTGTTTATTTTCATTTCGGAGAAATGGTATGTGAAGTGATCAGAAGATCGCTCAACTCACCGTTATTTCCAGCAACCACTGTCATATTACCATTATTGACGCCTTGAAACAAACTTTAGTGGATAGATAATGGATATGTATATCTATCATAAATGCCATACATTGACTCGCTGAAAGTCATATTTGTCAAAATAAAGTTTTTGTTATCGCGAGCACGGGAGCATAGACGGTGATTGGTGAAATTATTCCATGCAACAGAATACCCGTCAATTGCGATCATCTGTATCAAAGTGCTACACTTATTAGTTTATTTCAAATATATATAGTAAAGCTAAGCTAAAATAACATGATATTGGAATAAATTATTCCTAATAAAATAATAGTTTCAGATACAATTCTTCGATCATTGTATCCAAATTCTTTAAAGTTATATTAGTGGGTAATTTTTAACTGAATCACCACTAGATTAGGAGTTACGAGAAATACATACGGTAATCTTAATCTCTCCATATAAAACAATGCCTATCAGAACAGGAAATACAATTTAATCGCTAAATCATCATGTCTAGTGTTTTTTATCTCAAATTTCAAATTTATCTTGACAAAGTTTAATTGTTATGATCTGTTCGTTTCCCTGAATTCGCTGAAGGCATACGATGTACTTTTTTTTGCGGAAGGCAAACACGGTTTTATTGCAAATGTAGGGATTGTGTATGCGCTGTTGACATGCTTCATAGACGGGGTATATAAATTAGCATCGATTTTGAAGGGGGGGTGCCTTGTATGCGGGTTCGCTTTATAGACAGCGATATACAAATTATCCTTGAGACTTGTAAATGTTAAAAGCCAATACTGTTTTACACAACTATGCACACTTAACAAAAATTACTTCCTTACCATTGCTTGCCACAATTGTGGAAAATGACTTACAGACAAATGTATTAAGTGTATGTATTTGCTACTGTATATTCAGGAAATAGTTCTATTGCTGTTCTGTAATCTGTGGCTACCTCATGGCAGTATTCTATATCATAATCCTATGTTCATGTTAATTTGTAGTCATTCATGTAGCTGCCAAATTTTAGCCTTCTTGTGCCAATTTTTCATTTTTTGGATTCAATCAACCAGAACCAAAAAAAGCCATAGGCTTGTGTGATAACTCAACTCGCCTGGTTCGCAGAATGAGGAGACTACTGACTAAATTGAAGTTGTTTTTATGAATATTGATGAAACTTAATATTTAATTAATGTATGTCCATTTTTCAAAGATGAATTGCACATTTTTCAAACTTGGATTAAGGGAAAAGATGCTTGTCAAGAAAGGTATTCCTTCCACTGTTAAAGGATTTCCAGGATCTTATCCCATTTGTCAACATTTTTCAACCATTCAGATTACAGCACACACTCCCATTCAGTTTACAGTTTCAATTCAGTAGTAGTGTGAATAGATGAGCAGATAACCCTACCAGCAAACTGTTGTTCCTTGCAAAGATAAAGCCATGAATCTGAGTCTGACCACATGTATGCATCTTCCCGAGGCAAGGGCGTTAACTGACTATAAAAGTCCAGTTTTCACCCTTGCTGAACTAGGATGGAATTTCCAGGCTCGATCATAGTGCCACCAGTGGCTATAACAAGTTATGTCCCTTCTATGTCCTTCCTACTGACCAATCAGATATCATCCCACATATTGCTTGCATTTGTTTCAAACAAAATGGCGGCGCCCAATCAAGACGATCTGATCGATAGTCAAGGTCTATATTGTAATATAAAGGGTCTTACCCCTCGAAGTGCATCAAATCACATCTGTATGCTAAAATCAATGTTGTCTAGTTCGGATGTCTAGTTTGTTACGCAATTTTGATTGGACTATGCATAGACTCGTTAGTACAGCCAAAATGTAAATCCAGAATTCCAGCCCAGTTCGGCAAGGGTCGAAATTGGACTTTTAGAGATAGTTAACTCCCTTGCCTCGGGAAGATGCAATTATGAGTCTTGACATGTCCGGCCTCCAATAACTTGTGGCTTGTGTACTGACCCGTGGGCAGATCGTGGGAACTCTGGGAGCAGCTACAGAAGAAAGCTCACCTGTACAAGAGCAACGTGCTGCTGGTGCCCCATGGCGATGACTTCCGTTACTCGTCACCATCAGAGTGGAACAAACAGCTGACGAACCTGGAGAAAATGTTCACATTCATGAACAGCAAGACTGATTTCCATATCAAGGTAAGACATGGTTAGATGCTGTATTGGTTTTAGGTAACAATCACTGGAGTGAATTCATCAAAGAACATGAATAAGTGGTAAGCTATGGTTTCCGTCTGCAACATGGAAATTCTCAACATTGGTTAACAAAAGTAGATACAAATATTTAATAATCACTGTTTATTTCACATGACTGCTATCCTCGTTTCTCAAGACCTTTTTCCAAACTTACTGGGTAGGGAGGGAGGGCTTTATGTTTTATATTAGTTTTTAATTGGTTACAAATCTGTTAAAGTATAACTTGATTGTAATGCAATACTTGATTTATCATCCAAAACTGGCTCCCACAGGAGATATCGCTTGGATGAGATCAAGCGATATCTACACTGTAGATATCGCTTTTGCGATATCTACACTGTAGATAATGCTGCAATGAAATTACATCACAATGCTTTGCAGACCATTGTGACGTCATTGGTTACCATGACGTCACAATCAAATGACATCACTAATGGCTCTGCTACTGAAGCTGTTTGCAGTACTTTTTACACTGAAGACACTGCTAATTACTGTCTAGAAATTGAAAAAGTTGAAAGAATGATGTTGGATGATAAATAAAATCTCACCCTCGTGTCTTTTGATATCAAATATATCAACACTCGTTGATAAAAGTGGCAAAAATCCTCGGCAAGCCTCGGATTTTTCCACTTTTATCAACTCGTGTTGATATATTTGATATCAAAAGACACTCGGGTGAGATTCTCTATTTATCATCCAAAACTGGCTCCCACAGGAGATATCGCTTGGATTAGATCAAGCGATATCTACACTGTAGATATCGCTGCAATGAAATTACATCACAATGCTTTGCAGACCATTGTGACGTCACTGGTTCCCATGACATCACAATCAAATGACATCACTAATGGCTCTGCTACTGAAGCTGTTAGCAGTACTCTTTACACTGAGGACACTTCTAATTACTGTCTACAAATTGAAAAAGTTGGAAGAATGATGTTGGATGATAAATAAAATCTCACCCTCCTGTCTTTTGATATCAAATATATCAAAATTCGTTGATAAAAGTGGCAAAAATCCTGGGCAAGCCTCAGAATTTTTATATCAACTCGTGTTGATATATTTGATATCAAAAGACACTCAGGTGAGATTCTCTATAACTTCTGGCCCCACCCTGCTGCTGGAAACAGATGCAGTCTATGATGACCTCGTCTAGGTTCCCCTGCCAATCTGTCACACTATGAAGTGCATAGGGTGTTAAAATAGGTTGGAATCTGGGGCAAAAACAAATTTTGACTTCAATTGTTTGTTACTTAGTAATGTTAACAATATAAAATGCATTTGGGACGGGTGAAAGTTGAGATCATGGGAAAGAAGGAATATATATGACCTTGGGACAAGATGTTTGACTGTGTATGTCATTGACTGCAGATAGAGTTTGGAACCCTGAGTGACTATTTCTCAGCCCTGGAGAAGGACAAACCTCACTTCACCCACGAATCCCCCTTCCCATCTCTCAGTGGCGACTTCTTCCCCTATACTGACCGCAGTGACCAGTACTGGTCAGGGTACTTCACATCCAGACCCTTGTACAAGCACATCACCCGTGTCCTGCAGGCAAAGATCAGGTATTCATCTTTCATACTTTAGTTGTCATGATAAGCTTACATTATGTTTGAAATTACTGTTGTTTAAATGTACATGTTATATATTTTAGTAATACCTCAGGGAAAATATTAAACTGGATTATTTTATGACTATAGTCTGGAAGGTAATTTAAGGTACCAATGTTTACTACAATATCTGAAATACTATCGGACCTACTCCAGTTAAAGTTGGTATGAGATTATTAAACAGTCATACATAACTGGATATTACATTTAAAGACAATCGGTGCATGAATAAAAAATCTGTCTATTTAGCTGTCACTATATTTCATCAACAACCAGACCTGCTTGTCACGGGTGGAATGAGCATTCATTGAAACAGCCATCTGCATAATGCTACCCCTGCGTCACAGGGCCATATGACACAGTTGAACCAATCAACTCAACTTGAAAGGGTGCACGGGAATCACGAACGCACGAATACGGTGTTAGCGTTGGGCGTCTCAACGTGCGTATTCCCGTGCACCCTTTCGAGTTACTTGACATATGGTACACCCTGTGTTACTGTAAGATCTCTCTATATTTCAGGTTACTTGACATATGGTACACCCTGTGTTACTGTAAGATCTCTCTATGTTTCAGGTTACTTGACATATGGTACACCCTGTGTTACTGTAAGATCTCTCTATGTTTCAGGTTACTTGACATATGGTACACCCTTTGTTACTGTAAGATCTCTCTATGTTTCAGGTTACTTGACATATGGTACACCCTGTGTTACTGTAAGATCTCTCTATGTTACAGGTTACTTGACATATGGTACACCCTGTGTTACTGCAAGATCTCTCTATGTTTCAGGTTACTTGACATATGGTACACCCTGTGTTACTGCAAGATCTCTCTATGTTTCAGGTTACTTGACATATGGTACACCCTTAGTTACTGTAAGATCTCTCTATGTTTCAGGTTACTAGACATATGGTACACCCTGTGTTACTGTAAGATCTCTCTATGTTTCAGGTTACTTGACATATGGTACACCCTGTGTTATTGTAAGATCTCTCTATGTTTCAGGTTACTTGACATATGGTACACCCTGTGTTATTGTTACTGTAAGATCTCTCTATGTTTCAAGTTACTTGACATATGGTACACCCTGTGTTACTGTAACATCTCTATGTTTCAGGTTACTTGACATATGGTACACCCTGTGTTACTGTAAGATCTCTCTATGTTTCAGGTTACTTGACATATGGTACACCCTGTGTTACTGTTACTGTAAGATCTCTCTATGTTTCAGGTTACTTGACATATGGTACACCCTGTGTTACTGCAAGATCTCTCTATGTTTCAGGTTACTTGACATATGGTACACCCTGTGTTACTGTTACTGTAAGATCTCTCCATGTTTCAGGTTACTTGACATATGGTACACCCTGTGTTACTGTAAGATCTCTCTATGTTTCAGGTTACTTGACATATGGTACACCCTGTGTTACTGTAAGATCTCTCTATGTTTCAGGTTACTTGACATATGGTACACCCTTTGTTACTGTAAGATCTCTATGTTTCAGGTTACTTGACATATGGTACACCCTGTGTTACTGTAAGATCTCTCTATGTTTCAGGTTACTTGACATATGGTACAATTTATGTTACTGTTACTGTAAGATCTCTCTATGTTTCAGGTTACTTGACATATGGTACACCCTGTGTTATGCCCGTGCTGTCAGGAGGCATAAGACAGCAGTGGTGACATTTCTACGTGAGCGGTTCTCTGTCCTCGTGTCCACAAGGAGAGCCAATGGTCACTTCCAGCACCATGATGCCATCACTGGGACATCCTCTTCAGCAGTCACTAAGGATTATGCACAAATGTAATTCCACAACAGGTGTATTTTTTTCTCTTTACCCTCATGGAAATTGGGTTAAAATTGGCCCCAGCGCCTGAAGGCGACTAGCTTGGCTTCGGTGGTCAGGCTGTGTGTGTTGACTGGGTGGTCAGGCTGTGTGTGTTGACTGGGTGGTCAGGCTCTGTGTGTTGATTTTGGGTGGTCAGGCTCTGTGTGTTAATTGGATGGTCAGGCTCTGTGTGTGTTGACTGGGTGGTCAGGCTCTGTGTGTTGCCTGGGTGGTCAGGCTCTGTGTAAATTGGATGGACAGGCTCTGTGTGTTGACTGGGTGGTCAGGCTCTGTGTGTTGATTGGGTGGTCAGGCTCTGTTTGTTCACTGGGTGGTCAGGCTCTTTTTGTTCACTGGGTGGTCAGGCTCTGTGTAAATTGGATGGACAGGCTCTGTGTGTTGATTGGGTGGACAGGCTCTGTGTGTTGATTGGGTGGTCAGGCTCTGTGTGTTGATTGTGTGGTCAGGCTGTGTGTGTTGATTGGGTGGTCAGGCTCTGTGTGTTGATTGTGTGGTCAGGCTCTGTGTGTTGATTAGGTGGTCAGGCTCTGTGTGTTGATTGTGTGGTCAGGCTGTGTGTGTTGATTGTGTGGTCAGGCTGTGTGTGTTGATTGGGTGGTCAGGCTGTGTGTGTTGATTGGATGGTCAGGCTCTGTGTGTGTTGACTGGGTGGTCAGGCTCTGTGTGTTGATTGGATGGTCAGGCTCTGTGTGTGTTGACTGGGTGGTCAGGCTCTGTGTGTTAATTGGATTGTCAGGCTCTGTGTGTGTTGATTGGGTGGTCAGGCTCTGTGTGTTAATTGGATGGTCAGGCTCTGTGTGTGTTGACTGGGTGGTCAGGCTCTGTGTGTTGCCTGGGTGGTCAGGCTCTGTGTAAATTGGATGGACAGGCTCTGTGTGTTGACTGGGTGGTCAGGCTCTGTGTGTTGATTGGGTGGTCAGGCTCTGTTTGTTCACTGGGTGGTCAGGCTCTTTTTGTTCACTGGGTGGTCAGGCTCTGTGTAAATTGGATGGACAGGCTCTGTGTGTTGATTGGGCGGACAGGCTCTGTGTGTTGATTGGGTGGTCAGGCTCTGTGTGTTGATTGTGTGGTCAGGCTCTGTGTGTTGATTGGGTGGTCAGGCTCTGTGTGTTGATTGTGTGGTCAGGCTGTGTGTGTTGATTGGGTGGTCAGGCTCTGTGTAAATTGGATGGACAGGCTCTGTGTGTTGATTGGGCGGACAGGCTCTGTGTGTTGATTGGGTGGTCAGGCTCTGTGTAAATTGGATGGACAGGCTCTGTGTGTTGATTGGGTGGACAGGCTCTGTGTGTTGATTGGGTGGTCAGGCTCTGTGTGTTGATTGTGTGGTCAGGCTGTGTGTGTTGATTGGGTGGTCAGGCTCTGTGTGTTGATTGTGTGGTCAGGCTGTGTGTGTTGATTGTGTGGTCAGGCTGTGTGTGTTGATTGGGTGGTCAGGCTGTGTGTGTTGATTGGGTGGTCAGGCTCTGTGTGTTGATTGTGTAGTCAGGCTGTGTGTGTTGATTGTGTGGTCAGGCTGTGTGTGTTGATTGGGTGGTCAGGCTGTGTGTGTTGATTGGGTGGTCAGGCTGTGTGTGTTGATTGTGTGGTCAGGCTGTGTGTGTTGATTGGGTGGTCAGGCTCTGTATGTTGATTGGGTGGTCAGGCTCTGTGACTTGACTGATTGTGTGTTGATTGGGTGGTCAGGCTCTGTGACTTGACTGATTGGGTGGTCAGGCTCTGTGTGTTGATTGGGTGGTCAGGCTCTGTGACTTGACTGATTGGGTGGTCAGGCTCTGTATGTTGATTGGGTGGTCAGGCTCTGTGTGTTTATTGGGTGGTCAGGCATTGTGTGTTGATTGGGTGGTCAGGCTCTGTGTAAATTGGATGGACAGGTGCTGTGTGTTGATTGGGTGGTCAGGCTCTGTGTAATTTGGATGGACAGGCGCTGTGTGTTGATTGGGTGGTCAGGCTCTGTGACTTGACTGATTGTGTGTTGATTGGCTGGTCAGTTGATTGGGTGATCATGCTCTGTGACTTGACTGATTGTGTGTTGATTGTTTTTTGTTTTTTTTCGCTTGTATGTATGTAACCAAATAAACAGTTGTGTACCATCAACCTGGGAAAGTGCCTCCCTACATAAACAAGCATGCAAACTCCTATTGCCGCCATGACCATAACACAAGAGCAGAGCAGTGTGCATTTAAAGGGAAGTAACTGCATGCCATATTGGATTGCATTGTTTTTAAGTTTTAGGAATTTTTTTTGGAAAATTGAAATAAAAACCAAAACGTGTGGCGGACCTTATGATGATGAGGTTGGTGCCTGAGAACCAAGACTGTTATTCGTTTTAGCCTCATGTTATTGTTAAAACACAACTTTTGGTTGAAAATGTAAAAAAGTGAGCGAGGGAAAGCCTGAGTTTCCAGACCTCAAGGTTTTATGTTTTCAAACAACACTGAGAAGTGTTTTAACTAGTGTATGAACCATCTAAATGCAAGAAGTACTAGTTAGAAAGTCAAGGGCATTCTGCTGGAATGCCCTGGGCATTGTTATAAGCTGTTTCCACAATTTGAAGAAACCTGATGAACAATAGGACGACATCACAATAGGTTTATAAGATAAGTTGCAAGATAATTTATAGTTTATAAGATATGTGAAAAGCTACTTGAATGCAATTGTATATGTCTTCAACTTGTAGCTTACTGAATGCCATGGAACAGGCTGATGCCATGATAGGAGCTGTCACCACCATCCTAATGACAGATGGACCATTGGAAGAGGGGGCCATCACTTCACACATCAAGCCAGTGAGTAACAGGCAGTGTTGGAAATAATTTCAAAACTCATCAAGACCGTAGGGCAGGTGACCCATAAGTGCTGCCTGCCCATCTTCAAAGTTACCTGACAGCCTCCGTGGTCTAATGGTAGAGCGTCCGCCCAGAGAGCGGAAGGTCCGGGGTTCGATCCCCGGCCGCTTCATACCAAAAGACGTTAAAAGGTGGTACTTGTTGTTACCCTGTCTGGCGCTCGGCATTAAGGGGCTAAAACAAGAACTGGTCGGCTCGGAGTCAGTATACTGTGTCTGAGTGGGGTATTCATGTTAAACTGCGGCATGGTATCTCAGTGAGCTAGCACATTAAATCGGCATCAGTCCGGACTAGTACAAGCAGCCACACAAACACACACGTACATGCACGTCGCCATATAAGTGCAATAATCTTGGACGCGACGTTAAACCCAATTTCACCTCACCTCATCTCACCTGACCTCAAAGTTACCTGCTCGCATTCAGACATGATAAATATAGAAATAATTGCAAAAAAACTAAAGAGACACATCGCATCTATTGTGTCTTGATTCAATTAAAATAATGCAAACAATTACTTGAGACTTTCCAAGGAGTTATGATAAAACTGGAATATTGCTGAGTGCGGCTTTAAACAACAAACAAACAAACACATGTAAGCTGGGCTTCTGTCTACCAAAATGAACCACCATCTTGATTTTGAGTTGAGAATATTTCCCAAGCAACCAATGTTGGTTCTAAGAGTCAACCAACTGGATCGGGTGGTCAGGCCCTGTGACTTGGTTGTGTGTAATCTTACCCCAGGGATGTGGATCTTTGCTCACAATATATCACTGGATTGTCTGGTCCTGACTCAATTATTTATAGGCCTCTGTCATATAGCTGGAATATTGCTGAGTGCAGCATTAAACAACAAACAAACAACCATTCAGTATGATGGTAGAATAATTAGCTGTAACTTCCTCAATGTATTGTTTCAGAATGAGGAGTGGAAACATTTTGATGAACCTCCCATGAGAAATGCCTTCGAAGTTAATGAAAAGAGGTTAGTGACAGTTTAATTATTTTTCTTTAAAACTTTTCTTGACATAATACAATATCAGCGCATTATATCTTACCCTGAGTCAAATAAACTGTCTCAGAATCTATGTTCTGCTGGATTACACAGGATATGATGCTTTACAACCAAACTTTAAAACAAGAAGTCAGTTGATCATACAACAGTCCAATGACTGTTGGTATATCTTTAGACCCGTGAAAATGCGGGGTAGAATTGGTCTTCAGGAACCCATGCTTGTTGTGAAAGGCGACTATGCTTGTCGTAAGAGGTGACTAACAGGATCGGATGGTCAGGCTCGCTGACTTGGTTGATGCATGTCATCGCATCCCAACTGAGTGGATCTATGTTTATAATGTCAATCACTGGATTGTCTGGTCCAGACTCAATTATTTACCGACGGCCGTCATATAGCTGGAATATTGCTGAGTGTGGCGTTCAAGAACAAACAAAAACAACAACAGTATTTTACTGATATATGTTAAAGGTGCAAGGAGATTGCTTAGGTTCTTCTAACATGTTCCGGTCAGTAAACATTTGAATTACTTTGATATGTTTCTTGTTCTCATTGCAAGGAATGTATAGCATGTGGTGGTTGTCAGCAATTGTTTGTTGTTATACAGGACTGTCATCATCAGTAATCCGCTTACCACACGTCGCAGAGAGGTTGTGCGGGTAACAACACTGTCACCCGATGTCACCGTCACTGATGCTGACCTTGGGTTTGTTCTACATCAGATTAACCCGGTTCTGACCTCAGACTTCAACATTGATCTCAACAGATTCGAGGCAAGGTTTTAGTGTTTTGAGTTTACAGTTTTAGATTACACAATCTACCGTGAAATATGAAAAACTGTGAACTTACAACAGTTTTGAAATTTAGAAGTTTGGTTTTTCGAAACGCATTTAGAAGTGTGCTGAAGAGAATTTATGAATGTCAACTTTTGTATTTTCAGGAACACAAACTTTTGGAGTTTATACTTAATCCTTAGAATTTGTTGATAAAAAAGTGTTTTCTCTCACAAAAAAGGTATTTTTTAAAGTGTATTGCTCCTTGAAGCAATGCATGACACACTCAGTGATAAATAGCATGCATCTTTTTGTGAATTTTAAAGAGGATCAGATGTGTTTTGCTTAGGTTGCCTTCCTGGTAGACTTGCCTCCACTCTCAGTAAAGAAGTTTTTTCTCCAACCATCAAAAGATGCTGAAAGATCGCTAGCTAGAGTTTCAGCATTCAACACCAACCTTGCAGAGGACTTTAAGAAGTGAGTTCTGCATAGTTGAGTAGCCTAGATGTTTATGTCTTTTCTTGTCAAGATTCTTGTTCAACTCAGTACACAGCATTAGAATATTGTTTTCTTTAAGTCATGTACAGAGGACTAGTGGAAGCATATTTCACTTGTCGTAAGAGTTTGCAGCTAGTCATGTTGACCAAGACAATAATGTTTACTATGTTTACACTTTCTATCAGTTGTATGCAGTTCCAATGTGTAGCAAAATAGAATCATGGAGAACTGTTTCAGAGTTTAAGCCCTCAATTGCTGCTAGTCAATGAAAACTTACATCATTGGATTTCCTCAGCAAAATGTAGTAGTCTCGGGCTAGCATGATTTTTAAGGCTGGTACATGGGTATAAGCTGAACTCCTGTTATTGACTGTTATTTCCTGGGGAAAATCCAAATGTTCAGGTCTGCCCGGTTATGCTGAAACATAAAACTCACAAGAGTCTATTATGGAGTGGAGATTCTGGGTGAGAGTCAGTTGGTGCTTGTGACCCGTAAGATTTGGTGTAGAATAGGTCTTCAGCAACCCATGCTTGCTGTGGAAAGTGACTATGCTTGTTGTAAGAAGCGACTAACAGGATCAGGTGGCGTTAAACAACAAAAAAAACAAAAAACCTATGCTTGTGGTAAGAAGTGCAGGAAGTCTGCTGTACGTTCAGGCTCAGTTAACTGTGTTTCATCGTGCACATAATATCAACCACTGTTTTGACTGACTGCTGTGAAATAGCTGGAGTTTTGCTGACTGCATCATTCAGCTACATTCACTCACTCACCCTGTGATGAAATACAACCCCAGTACCTCATGCTTGTCGTAAGAGGCGACTAACGGGATCGGGTGGTCAGGCTCGCTGACTTGGTTGATTCATGTCATTGTATCCCAATTGCATGGATTGATGCTCATGATGTCAATCACTGGATTGTCTGGTTCAGACTTGATGATTTACAGACTGCCATCATGTAGCTGAAATATTGGTGAGTGGGACGTTAAACAACAACAACAACAAAATTTTATTATAATTAAGATTAAATTATTTGCAGGCCAGCAAGATACAGATTCAGTGTGGCTGAGTACATGACAAAACAAATCCCACTCACAGATTGTCAGAGACAGAAAACCTTCTCCTAAACATGGGAAGGATCACTTAGCTCCTTCAACACTCTGTATGAAGCATTGTTATTATATGTTTGCTTTATATTTGCCCAGATCTCGGTTCCGCGTCAGCACTGGTCAGCAGCCAAGAGTGCTTGAGCTGGACAACGGCTACTACCGAGTGTCTTTCTCTCCATGCACTGGATTCCTTGAGGTTAGTCAGACATATTTGCTGAGTGCAGATTGTGAAAGACGCTTTAATGATTCTTTGCCCATATTTCAGGGCAGAGTGTTGATCGTGAAAGGTAGATGACTGAATGTGTGTGTGACGTCTGCTCCACTGTTTTCAGCATGTACACAGGAAGGTAGTTGACTGGATGTATGTGTGACGTCTGCTCCACTGTTTTCAGCATGTACACAGGAAGGTAGTTGACTGGATGTGTGTGTGACATCTGCTCCACTGTTTTCAGCATGTACACAGGAAGGTAGAGGACTGGATGTATGTGTGACATCTGCTCCACTGTTTTCAGCATGTACACAGTAAGGTAGATGACTGTGTAGCGGCCATAAAATTTCCGAGTCCCGTGATGGGATTCGAACCACGGACCTTCTGATCAGAGGTCGGACGCCTTGTCCACATGACCAAAGAGGTTAACCCCGTCAGCAAGCTGACAAGGTAAGGATGTCATCTGTGGGATGACTCCACGCCCTGCTACATACTCCCCCGTCAACAGAAGGCACGTCCCGGGCCGCATAGTAGGGTACTGAGGCTTATTTTGCTCAAATTTTAGTGGCCATAAAATTTCCGAGTCCCGTGATGGGATTCGAACCACGGACCTTCTGATCAGAGGTCGGACGCCTTGTCCACATGACCAAAGAGGTTAACCCCGTCAGCAAGCTGACAAGGTAAGGATGTCATCTGTGGGATGACTCCACGCCCTGCTACAACTGGATGTGTGTGTGACGTCTGCTCCACTGTTTTCAGCATGTACACAGGAAGGTAGTTGACTGGATGTATGTGTGACGTCTGCTCCACTGTTTTCAGCATGTACACAGGAAGGTAGTTGACTGGATGTGTGTGTGACATCTGCTCCACTGTTTTCAGCATGTACACAGTAAGGTAGATGACTGGATGTGTGTGTGACGTCTGCTCCACTGTTTTCAGCATGTACACAGGAAGGTAGAGGACAGGATGTATGTGTGACGTCTGCTCCACTGTTTTCAGCATGTACACAGGAAGGTAGATGACTGGATGTGTGTGTGACGTCTGCTCCACTGTTTTCAGCATGTACACGGGAAGGTAGATGACTGGATGTGTGTGTGACGTCTGCTCCACTGTTTTCAGCATGTACACAGGAAGGTAGATGACTGGATGTGTATGTGGCGTCTGCTCCACTGTTTTCAGCATGTACACAGGAAGGTAGTTGACTGGATGTGTGTGTGACGTCTGCTCCACTGTTTTCAGCATGTACACAGGAAGGTAGATGACTGGATGTGTGTGTGACGTCTGCTTCACTGTTTTCAGCATGTACACAGGAAGGTAGATGACTGGATGTGTGTGTGACGTCTGCTCCACTGTTTTCAGCATGTACACAGGAAGGTAGATGACTGGATGTGTGTGTGATGTCTGCTCCACTGTTTTCAGCATGTACACAGGAAGGTAGTTGACTGGATGTATGTGTGACGTCTGCTCCACTGTTTTCAGCATGTACACAGGAAGGTAGTTGACTGGATGGGTGTGTGACATCTGCTCCACTGTCTTCAGCATGTACACAGGAAGGTAGAGGACAGGATGTATGTGTGACGTCTGCTCCACTGTTTTCAGCATGTACACAGGAAGGTAGATGACTGGATGTGTGTGTGACGTCTGCTCCACTGTTTTCAGCATGTACACAGGAAGGTAGTTGACTGGATGTGTGTGTGACGTCTGCTCCACTGTTTTCAGCATGTACACAGGAAGATAGATGACTGGATGGATGTGTGTGTGACGTCTGCTCCACTGTTTTCAGCATGTACACAGGAAGGTAGAGGACAGGATGTGTGTGTGACGTCTGCTCCACTGTTTTCAGCATGTACACAGGAAGGTAGATGACTGGATGTGCGTGTGACGTCTGCTCCACTGTTTTCAGCATGTACACAGGAAGGTAGTTGACTGGATGTGTGTGTGACGTCTGCTCCACTGTTTTCAGCATGTACACAGGAAGGTAGATAAGTGGATGTGTGTGTGACGTCTGCTCCACTGTTTTCAGCATGTACACAGGAAGGTAGATGACTGGATGTATGTGTGACGTCTGCTCCACTGTTTTCAGCATGTACACAGGAAGGTAGTTGACTGGATGTATGTGTGACGTCTGCTCCACTGTTTTCAGCATGTACACAGGAAGGTAGTTGACTGGATGTATGTGTGACGTCTGCTCCACTGTTTTCAGCATGTACACAGGAAGGTAGTTGACTGGATGTGTGTGTGACATCTGCTCCACTGTTTTCAGCATGTACACAGTAAGGTAGATGACTGGATGTGTGTGTGACGTCTGCTCCACTGTTTTCAGCATGTACACAGGAAGGTAGTTGACTGGATGTGTGTGTGACGTCTGCTCCACTGTTTTCAGCATGTACACAGGAAGATAGATGACTGGATGGATGTGTGTGTGACGTCTGCTCCACTGTTTTCAGCATGTACACAGGAAGGTAGAGGACAGGATGTGTGTGTGACGTCTGCTCCACTGTTTTCAGCATGTACACAGGAAGGTAGATGACTGGATGTGCGTGTGACGTCTGCTCCACTGTTTTCAGCATGTACACAGGAAGGTAGTTGACTGGATGTGTGTGTGACGTCTGCTCCACTGTTTTCAGCATGTACACAGGAAGGTAGATAAGTGGATGTGTGTGTGACGTCTGCTCCACTGTTTTCAGCATGTACACAGGAAGGTAGATGACTGGATGTATGAGGTGCAGCTGAAGATGATGACATATGACACAGGCTCCTGGTTTAAGGACAAGAGTGGAGCCTACACATTCCAGCCCAATGGACCAGCAACAGTAAGTGTTGTTACTAAAATTTTCTCATGGGTAACACAATAAAAACAGCTATTTGAAAATCTTAAAATTTGCACAAGGAAAACAGTATATCATCCCACAACACAAACATATCTTATGAAAAACCCTTGATTACATTTGAACCGGCTCTTGCAAAACAGTCCTGTGGCCCATTCCACAAAGCCATCTTAGTGCTATGACTGACGTAGGTCTATGTTAAGGTATGGGAGTTACGTTCATCTTAGCACTACGATGGCTTTGTGAAACGGGGCCCTGGTGGTCATCAAAAGTTTCATTTGCAAGTTAGTGACAACTTGTGAGACATTATGTGACCAATGTGTTTGTTCTGAAAGAGAAGCATGAGGCTGTTACCATCCTTATAAAACTAAGAGTTGAATATGGAGTGGATAGTGGAATTGAGATGAGATTATTTTAAAAAACTAAACTAATTAACTTTAGGAGTTGGACATCGAGTACCCAGAGATGATGATGGTGGACGGTCCGGTGATGTCTGCTGTGTACACCTCTGTGCCAGGAATACTTCACTCTGCTACATTGTATAAAGTAGAAGGTAAGACATAGTATCCTAGTTCCCCCAAGATGGTGGACGGTCCGGTGATGTCTGTGCCAGGAATACTTCACTCTGCTACAGTGTATAAACTCGAAGGTCGGGGGAGCAACATTGGTAACACAATCCCTGCATGTAACAAATTTTGAAATAATGCTTCATTCCAAAATGCTTGGCAAGGTTGCAATAATGGCGATATATAAATATGTCAGAACCCTGTCATGATTCCAGAATAGCTCCCAAAGAACCCATACTTGTTGGAAGTACACGCAACAATAACAAGGTGATGGTTACAATATGAACCTGGCTGAGTAAGTGGGACTACCCTGACAGAATGGATTTATTCTCATGATATCAAGCACTGATTTGCTTGCCCTGGACACCTATGTACAGTTTCAAACTAAGATATTAGTGATTGTGGCACAAAACAACATTCACTCCCTAACTGTGTGTCTCAGGTTCAGCTGTTGCCGGCCTTCACCTTGAGAACCGGGTGAACTTGAACAGTGATCGCTGGGACAACAAGGAGCTGGTGATGAGACTGGACTCCAGCATCTACAACAGAGAACACTCCATCTGCACCGACCTCAATGGCTTCCAGGTCAGTCGTGTTCTCACACACCTCCCCACTTGGGATTTGCTGGAAGTCAAAAACATTCAGCACAGGTTACCTCCCCTGTTTATATGTTGCCCTTATTACTTCCCTTTACTATTGATTGTGTTAAGATTGCTTTGTACAGTATTTCAGTGATGTAACAGCATGTTAAATTAATTTTTCCAAAATTAAACTATACATTTATACACCACACTTATCCAGGTACTAGTATCTGCTCAAATGCAGGTTTTATTTATCCCCGACCAGTAGATCCGTTTCCATTCCAGTTATCATTCTCAACTCCCTGCTGAGTATACAACCCAAGCTGCCTAACGGCGCTAGAAGGTTTTTACATCCACCTCACATATCGGGCACCCATTCCCTGCTGGGTGAACAGAGGCACATTCGAACTAAATCACTTGTCCAGGTGACGGCACAAGTTTTGACACTTTGGTTTCGGGCGTCTATACGTATTCGTGTTCCCACCATCTGGTCATCTACCATCGGATGAGTGGGTTCTTTTGAGTCCAAAGGGTGTATGTACTGTACACTAGGGGTAGTGACAACACTGTAATGACCTGTAAACATTGTTGGTCCCAAGGCTGAATAACAACCCGGTCACTAGCGTGAAACAATCTCAGCACCTAGCGCCTGCTAGCATGGCTGGGGCTTTTGACCGCTTGCCCACTCCGCCCCAGGCAGGTCAGCTTGATGTGGGCGGATAGCCTGAAGTGATTCCAGGTCTTGGATGTTACACACAATCACAAGTAATGTGCTAAATCTTAACCAGGGGTCTCTTTATGTGCCATGCTCTAAAGATTCAAAGGCTGGTTATAAAATTAATATTGGGGTGTCAGATAAATAAACATTAATGCTACAACCTGCATCATTGGCTGCATTTACCTGTGAAGATCCGGGTTAGAACTGATCTTCAGAAACGCATGCTTGTCACAAGAGGCGACTGACGGGACTGGGTGGCCAGGCTCGCTGACTTGGTTGATGCATGTCATCGTATCCCAATTGCGGAGATCAATGCTCATGATGTCAATCACTGGATTGTCTGGTCCAGACTTGATTATTTACAGACTGCCGTCATATAGCTGGATTATTGCTGACTGGGGGTTAAAGAACTTACAAACAAACAAACATTGGCTGCATTTGATTGATCGATATTTTGGTAAAGCATAGGTCCAATGTAACCTATGCTTGTTTTGAGAATCGTCTGAAATATATCAGATGGTTAGACTGTGCGACTTGGTATTAGTGCCTACATTGTTTGCTCATGCTTTTAATCACTGGTTTACCTAGTTCAGACTCATTTATCTGCAGGCTGCATTAATGGCTGCATTATTGCTGTCTGAAGTGTTAAACATATTCCGTTACTCAGTATTATAGTTTGACACCGAAACGCTCCTTGTTGTTCCAGATGCACAGGAAGCAGTATCAATCGAAGCTGACAATGCAGGGCAACTTCCATCCTCTGAGCACAGCGGCTTACATAGAGGACAGCTTAGGTTCCCGCCTCACCCTCCTGACCGCAGAGACGCACGGGGTGGCCAACTTGGAGCCAGGTAAGAAACACATTCACCAAGACACAGCCTTGATCAACCTATAGCCACGTAACACATAGACCGACTTGTCTCTACAAATAGCTACGTACTGTCCCATAATATTATTCAAATAGATTCCCAATTTAAACTTACCACACCAGCAACACTGCCATCGTGTACATAAACGGTAATGCCACGAAAACTGCAACACAATTCTATTCCTAGAACACTTGCCTTCAGTACCGCCTCCGTGGTCTAGTGGTAGAGCGTCCGCCCGGAGAGCGGAAGGTCCAGGGTTCGATCCCCGGCCGCGTCATACCAAAAGACGTTAAAAAATGGTACTTGTTGTTACCCTGTCTGGCGCTCGGCATTAAGGGGCTAAAACAAGGACTTGTCGGCTCGGAGTCAGTATACTGTGTCTGAGTGGGGTATTCATGCTAAACTGCGGCATTGTATCTCAGTGAGCTAGCACTATAAATCGGCATCAGTCCGGACTAGTACAAGCAGCCACACACACACACACACATGCATGCACGTCGCTATATAAGTGCAATAATCTTGGACGCGACGTTAAACCCAATTTCACCTCACCTCACTTGCCTTCAAATATTTAAACATCTATTTTCGATCATGCAGGTTTCTATGTACGTATCAGGTTGGAATCATAAAGAGGTGCATATTTTTGGAAATCTAAAAGCGCACAGGGCACAAATCAGGTGGTGTTAAGTATCGCCGGTCATGGAGAATAGTTGGACTCCTGAGAGTTTCTAGGGCTTTGGCCCTGCCCCACACTGAAGCACATGTAACACGTGTGGCGTCTCCTTGGGCACGTGACTTTGTTCAAAATGTGCCTCTGTTCACTTCACCGGGAATGAGTACCCAGTAGGATGAGATGGTAATGTGGCTGTTAACTTTTTTGTGTCTCTCTCGTAAATTATTTTTTATGAGAGTAACTACCCTTGCTACCTGTTTTCAGGTTTTGAGACGTACACAGTTACTGCCCTTGATCCATGTTACTTTACAAAGTGCACAGTGTCTGCAATTGGGACACTTTTTCTCAGAAACAATTGAAGTTAGCTTATCCGTGTGTATTTGTGTGTATTCATTTCACATTTAATCATTTTTTCAGATGACAGAAAGTGACCCTAGTGCCTGTCTCTTCTTAAGGTTTTATAGGAATCTTTTTTATCCCCCCGACATATAATGACGGGGGGGATATAGCCATCAGTATGTCCGTCCGTCCGTCCGTCCGTCCGTCTGTCCGTTTGTAATCATTGTTTGTCCGGAGCATATTTCCTAAACCCTACAACCTAGCTTCACAAAACTTGGTACACTTACCAATCAGGCTTAGTAGAAGTGCCTTTTGCTATTTAGAGATTTTTAGAATTTTTTATTTTTGTCGTTTCCATTGAAATATGATGAACTTAGGAAATTTGAGGGTAGTGCTCTTGTCGGGAGCATATTTCCTAAACCGTACAACCTAGCTTCCCAAAATTTGGTACACTTAACAATCAGGCTCAGTAGAAGTGCCTTTTGCTATTTAGAGATTTTTAGAATTTTATATTTTTGTCGTTTCCATGGAAATATTATGAACTTAGGAAATATGAGGGTACTGCTCTTGTCCAGAGCATATTTTCTAAACCGTAGAACCTAGCTTCTCAAAACTTTTTACGCTTAACAATCAGGCTCAGTAGAAGTGCCTTTTGCTATTTAGAGATTTTTAGAATTTTATATTTTTGTCGTTTCCATGGAAATATGATAAACTTAGGAAATTTGAGGGTAGTGCTCGTGTCTGGAGCATATTTCCTAAACCGTACAACCTAGCTTCCAGAAATTTGGTACACTTAACAATCAGGCTTAGTAGAAGTGCCTTTTGCTATGTAGAGATTTTTAGAATTTTTTATTTTTGTCGTTTCCATTGAAATATGATGAACTTAGGAAATTTGAGGGTAGTGCTCTTGTCGGGAGCATATTTTCTAAATATTGTTTAGATTCACTACTATGAACAAACAAAATTCTAATGTGCCCCATGGCAGGGGATAGTGTTTGTTTGTTTGTGTAATAAGACTACATTTAGGGAGAAAACAGATGGTTTAGCAGCCCTTGGATATATTAAGATAATAAAATGTTTCATTTGACTTTTCACAAAACTGTAGTGACCAACAAACAGACAATGCCATTTAGAAAGTGGTCAAATGTAACAGATGATATATTTGGGATAACACTTTCTGAGTAAAGTACAGATTCTCGTACTTTTTGGGGGGTTGAGTCCCGTCTGGTATTGGAACCCACACTGCCAGAGTGAGGCAGATAATCGTCAGCACACAAAGTCAGCGATCTAACTCACACAGCCACCTAGGCTTCCACAAAGAATGTCCGACAGTGACCTACACAGGAACTGCCTTGACTTACGCACAGAACTGTTGTAAGTCAATAACATAACAGAGCGTTGCCACATATTGACCCCCTGGTTTCTCTCCCTGTCAGGGTGGCTGGAGGTGGTGTTGGACCGACGCCTAATGCAGGGGGACTGGCGTGGACTGAATGAGGGGGTCAAGAACAACATGCCCACCCCCAGTCACTTTGTCCTGATGCTGGAGAAGTCACGCGCTAAGCTGGACGCAGGGGTAAGTAGGGGAGCTGTGGTTACATTGTGGACAGGTAAAACCACATCTTCCCAAGGCAAGGGAGTTAACTGACTATAAAAGTCAGTTTCCACCCTTGCTGAACTAGGCTGGTATTATGGAGATATGTTTTGGCTGGACTAACGAGTCTATACATAGTCCAATCAAAATCGCGGAATGAAATCAACATTTGGTTCATAAACAACATGGAGACTGCCCTGCAGATTTTGGTCTATTGGATTTGCAGAGCATGTGTACCGTTAAATGGGCGTCGACAGATGTTTCATGTTTTTAATCAAGGTGGTTAAGAGATTTGATGTACTTCACGAGGTAAGACCCACCTTATTACAAAAAAGAATCTTGATTATCGATCAGATTGTCTTGACTGGGCGTCGCTATTTTGTTTGAATCAAATGCAAGTGATATGAGAGGTGGAATCCGATTGGTCAATAGGAAGGACATAGAAGGGACATAACTCGCAATAGCCACTGATGAACCCAGAAATTGCAACCTAGTTTGGCAAGGGTGGAAACTGGACTTTTACAGTCAGTTAACTCCTTTGCCTCGGGAAGATGGTAAAACCACAGAACACAGACATGCAGATGATTTCAATCATGCTTGTCCTCCCCCAAGTTATGATTTTTGTCATATTTTTGACAAATTATTTACATGCCTAAAATATTACGGTTATCATCACAATGTGAGAAAGTATAACATTCTCAATGCCAAGTGTTTTGAAATCATTTTTAATAGCCTGTATGATACCATAGTATCTATTTAATGTTGACTTTTATGTCAGATATTTCCTCGAACTGCAAGTGATATATAATCTCCATCTTGATTAATAAAATCAATAATCCGACTAATGCCTCTATCAAACAAGATGTAGCAAAAAACATGATCACCTCCAACAGAAATATAGTAGAATACTATAGAAGAATAATATCATCTTCATAGGATTTTGGCAAAATTATTAATTGAAAATTTATGAAGAGAAGTGATACAATCCTTCCAAGAACTGTTGTACACATATACTGAACTGCAAAAGAAACATCACCCCAAGTTATATTGCATGAAAAGTTGTCATTTAAATATCTGGGTAATTACCTTGTCTGGAAAAATAAAATTTGATGATAAAAAAACAAAGCAGATGACAATAAAACCGAGTGCCCAAACGCATCAAGGCAACGACCATGGTAACCCAATGCACGTGAGTTCCGTGCAAATTGAAATGCACATGCGTTCCCCCATTTCTTGCCCTATAAAAATCCACCCAGATCGGATAATATTCATTCGTTATTGAATTGCTACCATGTGCCAAGATTGACAAGAAATCAGCAACACCAAGCCCTTGGACGATTGCAAGCTGGACAAACCGCCTGGCATGTAGCAAATGCATTTCAAGTCCACATTTGGACCATATACAGGTTCCAGCAACGGTACCAGACCACCAACACTACAGATGACCGACCACGTAGTGGAAGACCAAGGGTCACCATCCGACGTCAGGATCGTTAGATTGTGTGACAGTATCATCAAGATCGCTTTGTTACTGCTGCGGAAACTGCTCGATAGACCATGCGGACACACCAGTGACACATTAGTGCGGACACAGTGTGTCGACGATTGACGAGCAGATACCTCCACTGTCACAGGCCACACCAAGGACCCATTCTGACACCACGTCATCACCGGGACCTTCTTCAGTGGGCAACACAGCACCAGCATTGGCGACACCAGCAGTGGAGAAGAGTCCTCTTCTCAGACCAGAGCCGTTACTGTATCTCAACAGCAGATGGCAGAGAGAGAGAGTCTGGCGACGCCGTGGGGAACATTATTCGGATGCCTGTGTTGTTGAGAGAGACTCGTGGGGTGGTCCGAGCATCATGGTGTGGAATTGGTCTTGCACAGAGAGTCGGCCCTGTGGTCTTCCAGAACATCAGTCCAGGGAGAGGCAATGGTGTCACAGCAGCTCGGTTCAACAATCAAGTCTTGAGACCACACGCCATACCTCATTTGGCACATCGCCGCAACCACAAGTTTCAGCATGATAACACCTGTGCCCACACTGCGAGAGCAACAAGATACTTCCTCAAGCAGAATGGCATCTAGCACTATCCTGAATGGATTTACATGAGACTGATCTCTATATTTTATCAGGTTTTCCGCAACAAGGAAATGTAAATAAGATTTTGTTAAGTTCTCTCAGAAACGTCCCAGTTGGGTTTGGAAACAGGTAATTGAGTTTTGAAACAAGGGATTTGATACTTACAGGTCTACGCAGTGTTGTAATAATTCTTTTCAGCCATCTATTAATTATCAGACATGTTTTAAGTAATTTGTTTTCAAGGTTGTTTTCAGTCATCTTGCTCAGGTCAGTGGACAAGTTGATTCCCACAACCTGATATGATTCAGGGTTCCAATCAATTTTTAGTTTGAAGTTTACTTTCTAGTAAAAAGGGAGTTTCATATTATTATATTTTAACCATCTCTGATGATGTTATAAAATCTCAACGTAAATAGGAATAGTCAGCTGGTCTAGAAAATTATTATGTCAGATCTTTTAGAACTACCCAGATACCAAACTAAGGTTGTTTTAAATTTAGAATACTCCATTATCTTATTGCAACTAATTCATACTTTGTCAAAGTTAAGCTTGCCTCCATTAATAAATGTACTTTCTGCAGTAGTGAAGTAGAAACAGGCCTCAAAGTTTAAATTTTTACCATATGGCTACAAGTATTTTTTTCCAGGTAGCCAGTGTAGGTAGCCAAAAGCATTTGAAATTATCTTTTATCAAATAACTATTATATGTACATGTCATAGCACTAGTCTTGGAATTGTATATTAGTGGAAACTGTACTTGATTTTTGATGCAATGATGCAATTTATGTTACTAGATTATATAGGTATATCCTTGCTTATCCAATGAGCATTGTCAACTCAATTAAAATACGAATTAAATTGATATATATGTATTTCGGTTCATTGTCGACTTAAGGAGGAATTATTAGCAGATGAGTTTTCCAAGATCAGCTGTAATTTATTTTTGTCTACATATGTGTAGCAATAGAATTAAGTTGCCACAAGATATTTTTCAATGGATGCTCTGCCATTCTCTTTATAATTGTTTATAATGTTATCATCTGATTATCACACTGATTAGGATGTCTCTCCATATGTGAGGTTGACACCATTGACACAGCTGCATATACATGTACAAGACACAATGCAAGTTGATCATTAATCAAATATTTATGTCAATAAGAATATTTACGGACAGCATTATTATGGCAGGAATATGTTTGGTCAAACTGGTGACATTGACACTGTGATCAGTTGTAACACCGCTAGTACTGGCTGGGGACTTGGATGAATGAATGAATGAATTTCTTTATTTCCTCTAAAGTTACATCCGAAGATTTACAAAATCTCGAATATTCTCAGAGCAAATGCATTGTGCTAGTATTTGTATAGATGGGTGCATCATTAACACATAAAATACATATACATACACACGCACACACATATATTTTCGTCATTTACTACCGTATGTACACAAGTGAGCACTATTACGATACAACAGATTAATTTGGGGTTAATCTAATACGTTTCTGAAATTTAAGACATTCACAGAATATCAATGATATGTTTTCCCATGTAAACTGGTTCATAATTCCAGATTGTACGTTTACTCAGCCCCAGAATAGTGTGAGCATATCATTTTCTTCCAGAAGTTCAATTTGAACATAACTTTCGATATCAAGTTTGTCAAGGGTCTGGGCTCCTTTTTATTATTTTTTTTTAAGATAATTTAACAACTGTTTTTTTATCTGTACGATATGTTCATTTCAGAGACTAGATGTTAGTCTACCTGCAGTGATATCATTTGAATATTACTAAAATGGCATAAAACCATACTCATTCACATATGATAATACACTGTACTTTTTGTAGCTCATTGATTGTTCTCCAAATTTCTAAATATACATTTTCTTTATTCCAGCCGCCAGTGCCTGCCTGCTTCCCCTCCGCCACCAGCCACCTGTTGTCCCAGTCCCTCCTCCACCCCCTGTCAGTGGGCGTGGTCAACATAGGGGGAGATGCTCTGGGTACCAGATACCTGTCCCAGCTGTCTCTAATCCATCAACCTCTACCTCCCGCCCTGGGGCTGGTCAACCTGCGTACACTGAGGGTGAATGACACTGCGGCAGTGACAAGCTTGCTTATAGTCCACCAGGCTGGGCTGGACTGTGATGTCACGGAGACCCTGGAAGATGAGCAGAATATTCAGGTGAGTGTAGAATATGCAGGTGATGTAGAATATGCAGGTAATGTAGATTATGCAGGTGATGTAGAATATGCAGGTGATGTAGAATATGCTGGTGAATGTAGAATATGCAGGTGATGTAGAATATGCAGGTGAGTGTAGAATATGCAGGTGATGTAGAATATGCAGGTGAGTGTAGAATATGCAGGTGGGTGTATGTAGAATATGCAGGTGGGTGTAGAATATGCAGGTGGGTGTATGTAGAATATGCAGGTGATGTAGAATATGCAGGTGGGTGTATGTAGAATATGCAGGTGGATGTATATAGAATATGCAGGTGTGTGTGTAGAATATGCCGGTGAATGTATGTAGAATATGCAGGTGGATGTATGTAGAATATGCAGGTGATTGTGTCTAGAATATGCAGGTGGGTGTAAGCAGAATGTGCAGGTTGGTGTATGTAGAATATGCAGTTGGGTGTATGCAGAATATACAGGCAGATGTATTGTAGGTTATGCAGCTGGGTGTATGTAGAATATGCAGGTGGATGTATTGGAGAATATGCAGCTGGGTGTGTGTAGAATATGCATGTGGGTGTATGTAGAATCTGCGAGTGGGTGTACGTAGAATGTGCAGGTTGGTGAATGTAGAATATGCAGGTGATTGTGTCTAGAATATGCAGGTGGATGTATGTAGAATATGCAGGTGATTGTGTCTAGAATATGCAGGTGGATGTATGTAGAATATGCAGGTGATTGTGTCTAGAATATGCAGGTGGATGTATGTAGAATATGCCGGTGGATGTATGTAGACTATGCAGGTGGATGTATGTAGAATATGCAGGTGGATGTATGTAGAATATGCAGTTGGGTGTATGTAGAATATGCAGGTGGAAGTATTGGAGAATATGCAGCTGGGTGTGTGTAGAATTTGCAGCTGGGTGTACGTAGAATGTGCAGGTTGGTGAATGTAGAATATGCAGGTGATGTAGAATATGCAGGTGATTGTGTCTAGAATATGCAGGTGGATGTATGTAGAATATGCCGGTGGATGTATGTAGACTATGCAGGTGGGTGCATGCAGAATATGCAGGTGGATGTATTGTAGGTTATGCAGCTGGGTGTGTGTAGAATATGCAGGTGGATGTATTGTAGGTTATGCAGCTGGGTGTGTGTAGAATATGCAGGTGGATGTATTGTAGGTTATGCAGCTGGGTGTGTGTAGAATATGCAGGTGGATGTATTGTAGGTTATGCAGCTCGGTGTATGTAGAATATGCAGGTGATGTAGAATATGCAGGTGGGTGTACGTAGAATGTGCAGGTAGGTGTATGTAGAATGTGCAGGTTGGTGAATGTAGAATATGCAGGAGAGTGTAAGTAGAATATGCAGGAGGGTGTATGCAGAACTTATTCCGTGAATTAAAAATGTCAGCCCTGTTCAGTGTTCTGCTGGATGTAAAAAATTTGTAGAGCCTGCAGTCAGAGTGGGTTGTATACCCTCCAGGGTGTTGAGAAGGATAACTGGAATGCAGAGAACAAATATAAACCGCATTTGAGATGTCTGTATAATTGTGTGATATAAATGTATAATGTAACAATAATAGTCAGTGTGTTGCAGTGGAAACAGTAAAATATTCTCAGCCAACTCGCAGCCAGATGTAAAACTCAGCATCTGTAACATGTAATAAGATCCACCTTATTTTCCAGGAGTCTCCAAGTGTAAAGCTGTTTGAAGATGTAAATGTCATGAGTGCCTTTGAAACCAACTTGAACGGATTGAAGATCAAGAAGAAACTGACGTCATATGAGATGAATGTTCCACCCATGGAATTGAAAGTATTTAAGTTGTCATTAGGATAAGAGCATTATTCAAAATAATTTGTGAAATGACTGTGATATCTTCTGATTATATCTACATACACTAATGGTACTCTTAGGGACCAAACATTTTATGTTTCTTATTTAAAAAAAAATATGTTTACTATTATACAGGGGAGACAAAATTATTCTATATTGTATTGTAACACAAAAGAAAAATAATTATTCTGAAAAATATGTGTTAAGGAAACGGTAAAACATTTAAGGAAGAGAATTAATAGATGTCATCTTCTTTATTACAAGGAACACGTTTCGGTGTGTATGCTTACTCCTTCAACAGGTGAAAATCATTTTTGTTTGTCCCCTTACCTTATTCACACAGTGAATGATTTACCTTATTCATGCAATCTGTGATCTCCACCAATTCACCTCCACACACAGTGGTAAATTTACCTTATTCACCCCCTCTGTGATCTCCACTGATTTTGCCTACACAGTGGTTTACTTCTGTGATTTTCACTGTGAATATTTTAGGAGTCTACAATTCGTTGTTATTGTCAGACCGTTTCATTTTCAAGATTTACAAAGAAACCATTTTGAAAAGTAAATGAAACAAATCAAATTTCAAATGCTCTGTTTAAATGAAAACATGCTTGTTAACATCTGTTTGTTTGTATCCAGTGTTCTGCCGAGGCAGTGGCCTAGCAGGATTCTCGCAATAATTCATTGATTGGCTCATAATATGTACGCTCAGTGGGACTTGATATCAAGCACATTCACGAGGATGGGTTTATTTTATTTAATTATGGGAGTAACTGACTACCTCAAAAATATTTTACTTCACTCGGACAGCTGCTTCAATTATTGAATGTAAACGTCCTGATTTTCATTGCCTCAAGTGTCTTAATTTACAAGCGGCACCTTTCATTGGCTGAAGGTCACAAATGGTCCAATCAGAATCAAGATTACACATTTTTGCAGATATAGTAGTCATGGTTCTGATAGGCCAACGATGTGCTTGGTTCAAATGAGCCCAGTATTGCAGAATCACTGACCACTTGTTATGTCAGCGATCAAAGAATGTTTCCCATGGTGCACCTGACAGTCACCATGGTGACAGACCGAGGAAAGGGGGAGAAATTACATGACTATACATGGTCGCACCATAACTAAGAAAAAATACTACAACATGCCAGTTTTGTATGAATCATGTGAAATTTAATTCAATGACTAAGCTATATTCTAATTGTAGAACAAGTATCTTGAAGAGACTTGCTAATGGCAGTGATCACAAACAGGCTGTTGAGTCTACGTATGTGACATCGGATGTTGTTGCTACAATACGTCATATCTGAGATAAATGTCATACAAACATTCTGCGTATCACTGACGTTACTTGTGGACGGAGATTCTGCAGCAGTAACCTTCATATGATCTCACAGAGTGCTGCCTGATTAGTTTTGAAAATGACCCCATCTATTTATGCTGAAGAGGACCCAGTTCCCACTTGTTCAGTTTCTTGGCAGAACATTGATTATCTTAATAATATTATTTCAAGAGGATTTTTTAAAGGAAAATAGCCTAAAATAAACCCGAACCTAAAAATATTCAATTTTTTAGCCTCTTGGATCTTGACATACTGATTAAGAAAACCTGAAAAAAAGAAATCAATTTTGTCTAGCTGATATATTTTCAATTTACATAACTTGATTACAGTTTGTCGGAATGATTGTATATTTTGCAAGTCAGTTGGATTTCAGGTCATTACATGTCAATATTATTACTCACCTGTTGGAGGTATCACTGTCTAGTTAACATACAGCTGTATTTCACAATTGCTTGATATGTTTTGAAATGCACCAAATAGTATCTAATCAGGCCTCAAAGTTGCAACTAAAATGGTCGCCAATGCGACCTAAATTTTATTTTGTCTACTGTCTAAAATTCAGAGGTAGCCAAATGACTACCTTGAAAAATATCTTGTGGCGACTAAATTCTATTGCTACACGTCTGTAGACACAAAAATAAATAACAGCTGATCTTGGAAAACAAGTCTGCCTTTAATTGTACTTGCAAATAATTCCTCCTAAAGTCGACAATGAACCAAAAGACATAAGTATTAATGTAATTAGTACTTTATTTTAATTGACAATGCTCTTTGGATAAGCAAGGCTATACCTTACCTATATAATCTAGTAACATAAATTGCATCATTGTTCGAGTCACAAGTAACAAAAACAAGTACAGTTTCGACTAATATACAACTCCAAGACAAGTGCTATAACTTGTACATATTATAATAGTTATTTGATAAAAGATAATTTCAAATTCTTTTGGCTACCTACAATATGAGCTTGACTTCTTAATTTTACCACTGGCTACCTGGGAAAAAATACTTGTAGCCATATGGCTACTTGGTAAAAAATTAAACTTTGAGGTCTGCTAATATAAATCTATATATAACATCCAAAATTTTCCAATCATAATTCTATGGAGATGAGTAAATAGTTTCAGGTCCCATGTTAGTTGTATGATGAAGTAAATCCTGTGATTGTTCGTGTATGAATTATGGTGTCTGGCAGTCTGGCATTTCAAGACAGTTTCATGTTTCAGTGACCAATCATTATTGATGAGGATGGATGTTTTTCTCATTAGAACATGCCAGTCATTTGATCAGGAAAACTCTTGGTATCACAATTACACAATAGGTGAAGTGTCTGATGCCAAGTTGTATTATCCTTTCTTCAACTGTGCTTGTTTTTGATTGCCAGTAACAGTGTGTCTTTCCCAGGTTAATGTTCCTAATGCGCTCAGTAAATTAGTTCCTCCTAATTGTCGATTTTAATTAACGTTCATGTTACAATGTCGATAAATATTTATATTTATTTGAAATGAAAATTTTCCGTACATCCATTCAGCATAACATCACGCAAATCTTACAAAACGAACTATTTATCTCCTAAATGATCTCACAAGTTGGATGGGTTAAGAAGGCTAGTGTCATTAATCCAATTCACACAGGTTATCTATGTCTGTGGGTTGCTGTGATGCCAACTCAAGTCAAGATACAAAATGCTTCAAAATGAAATCATAAGCAAACAAAAGCAAAGCAAAAGGCCTTTACGAGCAGTGATTTATAACCCTCTGCCAGTTGATATCATAGTGTAAATAGGTATGCTTATGATAGAATATTTGTGTACCATTGTGCTCTCGTACGGATGTTTGTTGTACACAATGCACTGTGATAGCAATATGAAGCTCCTTTACCAAAGTGAACTGAAGTCCCTGAAAAGTGCCGGAGAATAGAAGAACTCGGTTCAAAGTTGTAATTATAGTGAAGCAATAGGTCAGAGCAATGTTAAGTGGCACTATTTGATATAGTTTCATAGAAGACTCCATGATTCAAAGGGCATTTCATTATGTGACTTTACTTAGACTGTGAATTTATGTATACATATATTTAGAGTGATTGTTGGTGGTCATGTGTGTGTTTGTTTGATCATCATGTGTGAGTCGTGTACCATGAGTTTGGTTGATCATGCCTCATGTCATCTTCCCGAGGCAAGGGTGTTAACTGACTATAAAAGTCCAGTTTCCACCCTTGCGGAACTTGGCTGGTATTCTGGAGTTACATTTTGGCTGGACTAACGGGTCTATGTATAGTCCAATCAAATTCACGTAACAAACTACATGGATTTCAACGTGCAGATTTCGGTAGACTGCAGGATTTGCAAAGCATGTGTACTGTCAATTGTCAGATAATTTTCAAATGTTTTCATGTTTTTAATCAAGGTGCTCAAGTGATTTGATGCACTTCGCAGCATGAGACCCGTTTTATTACAAGAAAGATCTTGATTATCGATCAGATCGTTTCGACTGGGCACTGCCATTTTGTTTGAAGCAAATGCAAGTGGTATGAGTGATGGAATCTGATTGGTCAATAGAAGGGACATAGAAGGGGCCTGACTCGTAATAGCCACAGGTGGCACTACGATTGAGCCTGGAAATTCCAGCCTAGTTCGGCAAGGGTGGGAACTGGACTCTTGTAGTCAGTTAACGCCCTTGCCTCGGGAAGATGGTATCATGTGTGACATTACTGAATGTACACAATGTGTACTTGTAATTACAATTATATTTTTCCATGTTGAAATGTTTTAGTTTAATATAATATGCATTAACCAGAACAGGACAATCTAATTTCTTGTTTGCTGGATCTTCATCCGAGAATTACACAAAGGCTGGGGGGAAACTATAAAAGAAATAACTATTTGAAGTAAAAATTAATGTCTTTATTACTGCATTTTGCCTTGTGTACGTTTGAAGCATGCCCACCGTTTTAGGGGTTAATTTTTGTCGGGAAGAAATGCTATCTTTGCTGGAGTGACAAGGAGATAACAAATATGTAAATAGCTGTACATTTGTGAGGAAAGCAACTAAACAGCAACAGGCAGACCTGTACCTAAAGTACTCATAGTGGTCTTGCCTAACCAAGATATACTAATCAAAAGAAGTTAAGGACCACCCCATACTTTCATTAATTATGGAGTCATATATGACCAGCTCTAGTCAGCCATTGAATCATTCTGAAATTTAAATCCCACCAACATTGTGTCTACTTTACATAGGCCAAATATTAGAATGATTGCATGTAAAATTTTTGAGAAAATCGGGAAAGCAGCAAATCCATAAATTTACCAGCTAGTCCAATGCTAAAGGCATTTACAGGATGTTTTCTGATCAGTCATTCTTTGTGTGCAAGACTCTTTTGCTACAAGGGTAATTTCTACCCTGGCATCACATATTTGATTCAGCTATGCATGTACAATAAAACCCTGTTGACCTGGACGGAACTGTTCAAAGTCAACAATAATAATTTCTTTAAACATCAATACAAAAATCTTGTCAACAAGAATACAAAATCAGTGGCATCATTCAGTGCACTAATGCAACAACACAAGCCCCGCCCAGCCTATCAGTCAATCAGGAAACAGTTACGTGTGTGACCCATAATCTTTTGGGGTTTATGGAAACCTAAACACAGAAAGAAATTGCTTGGTAACTCAATTAAATGCCCTAGAACACTAGATCTATTTGGCACTAACATGGGTCATGATTTTGTTGGCATTGTTATGTACATGTTCTCTTTGTCTCTTCAGTTGTGTAATGTATTATGTTGCTCGGAGAGTAATTACAATGTGAGCAGTGCTCTGCTGTCATGCAGGGAATATCATGAAATGATAGTGTGTTAGATTTCTGCTGGGTATGGAATTTGAGATAGTATGACCATATATTTTTATGATTTTTCATAAATAAATCATCATATCTGATATCTTGTGGGTTTTTGAAGTGCACAAGGACCAAAGGTCTATGTGCAGTTTGGTATGATGTGTTGTCTTCAGTCCTCTATCTGTCAACTTATCTGAAATGGCTGAAGGGATGAAGCTGAAACTGGTTGGACCAGTTAGGACTGGCTGAAGGGATGAAGCTGAAACTGGTTGGACCAGGGAGGACTGCCTGAAGGGATGAAGCTGAAACTGGTTGGACCAGGGAGGACTGCCTAAAGGGATGAAGCTGAAACTGGTTGGACCAGAGAGGACTGGCTGAAGGGATGAAGATGAAACTGGATGGATCAGGGAGGACTGGCTGACGGGATGAAGCTGAAACTGGTAAGACCAGAGAGGACTGGCTGAAGGGATGAAGATGAAAGTGGATGGATCAAGAAGGACTGGCTGAAGGGATGAAGCTGAAACTGGTTGGACCAGTTAGGACTGGCTGAAGGGATGAAGCTGAAACTGGTTGGACCAGGGAGGACTGCCTGAAGGGATGAAGCTGAAACTGGTTGGACCAGAGAGGACTGCCTAAAGGGATGAAGCTGAAACTGGTTGGACCAGGGAGGACTGGCTGAAAGGATGAAGATGAAACTGGTTGGACCAGTGAGGACTGGCTGAAGGGATTAAGATGAAACTGGTAAGACCAGTGAGGACTGGCTGAAGGGATGAAGATGAAAGTGGATGGATCAGGGAGGACTGGCTGAAGGGATGAAGCTGAAACTGGTTGGACCAGGGAGGACTGGCTGAAGGGATGAAGCTGAAACTGGTTGGACCAGTGAGGACTGGCTGAAGGGATGAAGATGAAAGTGGATGGATCAGGGAGGACTGGCTGAAGGGATGAAGCTGAAACAGGATGGTCCAGCGAGGACTGACTGAAGGGATGAAGCTGAAATTGATTGGACCAGGGAGGACTGGCTGAAGGGATGAAGCTGAAATAGGATGGACCAGTGAGGACTGGCTGAAGGGATGAAGCTGAAACAGGATGGACCAGTGAGGACTGGCTGAAGGGATGAAGCTGAAACAGGATGGACCAGTGAGGACTGGCTGAAGGGATGAAGCTGAAACTGGTTGGACCAGGGAGGACTGGCTGAAGGGATGAAGCTGAAACTGGTTAGACCAGGGAGGACTAGCTGACAGGATGAAGCTGAAACTGGTTAGACCAGGGAGGATTGGCTGAAGGGATGAAGATGAAACTGGTTAGACCAGGGAGGACTGCCTGAAGGGATGAAGCTGAAACTGGTTGGGCCATGGAATAATAATTTACAAATTTAATGCGTCAAATATACACTCAAGAGTATGTTCAAAGCGTTACATTATTATATCAGTCACTCCATTTTCTTTTTCAGCTTTCTGGAGAGTATAGCACCAAAGCTGGGGGAGAAGGTCCCGAAGCCCTGGAAACTTTCAGACAGACAGACAGACAGACAGATAATTTATTAAAGTCTCACCTCGTTTGCTACAAATACTAAAATATTTACAAGGTATAACAATATGAAGGTGTAGCACGAGCCACTCTAAGCAGAGTTATGAGAGACTATAATTATTGGGTAAAAGCGTATGACATATAAATACATAAAAAAAAAAGATCCTAAAAACCGTAATAAAAATCATCGTAAAAATCATTTGTATAAAGCCCGTGTTCGTTCTAATAAAATTCTGTTGCAGGTTTTGGCAGATGTAAAAATCATTTCTGAGCTGGAAAGTATAAAACCTAGCTTCTGGTTATCACTAAAATCGTTAAAATCAGGACAGTTTGAATTGCACTTTGAAAGGAGGTGGCATCTGTAAGACTGGTACTGTGGGCAGTGTAATAAATCATGTTTTTCATCCTCAATTGTATCTCTGCATACATAACAAGTTCTTTCTTCAGTAGGGGTACTGTTGTAACGTCCAGGTTATATGTGAAGCGGCGCAACTCCGCACCGGAATCTTGAAAGGGCGCTTCTGTGTGACCGCTGAAGCTCACCCAACACATAGGACTCGACTCTATATTTGACTTTAAAAGTGGCGTAGGTTCTCAGCTTATTTCCACCTGTTCCATGTACGCTTTTCTTTTGATTGATCAGCTTCATCCAAATTTCTGTGAACTGTTCAAATATCTTTTCCTGAACCGTCCTTGTGACGAAACATTTGTCATACGTGTAATTAATGTTGTTAAAATGAGATAGTCCAAGTGCATCAAACTTCAGGTGTATTCTAAAAACTTGATTCCGTTTACGTCGCGCCGCCCACCGATAGGTCCAATTGAGAACTTGATGTGCTAGACGTCCAGGATCCATGGTGCGTAATCTCATGTAAAGGCGTGATACAGATCCCCACTGCCGCACGACGTCAAGCTGTCGAACGCCGTAAACCCATCCAACTACTCTCGGCGACCAACGTGGCTAAACTTCGCGGTATTTGTGACCAGGGCGCTGTACACAGGACCACGAGCCACCACAAACGTATTCACGTCTACGATTAGCGTTCGGCAAATTAGCCATTCCACATTAAGGGGTTGGGTCAGGGTGCAAAATATACTTCAAGTAAATGACTATCAGAATCTACTTTTCTATGTGGGGATATTGAACTGGAAGTATCAGACAGTTACACCTATTTTGGACTCTTTCTAACTGAATTTTTAGACTATAGACCGATGGGCAAGGTGGCAGCAAGTTCAGCAAGCCGAGCACTAGGACTCCTCATATCTAAGTACAAAGTGGTGGGAGGAATGAGATACCAGACGTACACTAAACTCTACGACTCTATGGTCTGGTCTATAGTTGAGTATGGAGCTGCAATCTGGGGTCAGTACAACGTGCCAGCTGTTAATGCCTTACAAAATCGAGCCAAGCCGTTCTATATGGGACTCAACAAATACGGGCCAAGTGCAGCTCTGGTTGGTGATATGGGATGGACTCCACCATGTGTGAGACAATGGAAAAGTGTTACGAAGTTTTATAAACGTCTAAGTTCCATACACCCTGAACGGTCCTTATCTAAAGTTTTTATCTGGAGCAACACCCAAGCAGAACGTCGCAAGCGGAACTGGAACAAACGAGTACATGATAAGTTGAGGAGTATGAACCTAGAACATTTTATCTCTCTTAGCAACAATTTCCACACCTGTTTTATCACATCTGAAATATGTGCCAAAATCCAGGAGAGTTTAAGAGCCAGCTGGCAAACTGATGTACAGATAACTCACAGCAGGAGTAGTGTGGGAGGAAACAAGTTGAGACTGTACAGACATTTTAAGAGTGGTATTTGTGTTGAACCATATATTTTGAACTCGATTCCCAGGAGTAATAGAAGTGCCTTAGCCAAATTCAGAAGCGGAGTAGCCC